CAAGTTACGGTACCTAGGTATCGTATAGGTACTTACGGCAATTACCGGTACGCCGGAGTCGCCGGGGCCCGGGGGTACACGTTAAACCCAAGGAGGTACCTACCGGTATACTGAAAGTACCCACCAGTCCTGAGGTACCGGTACCTACCTACCGTAACTTTCAGCTCAGGGCCGGGCAGGCGGTTACCTACCGGTATTCTGTACCTTACAGGTACGGTATGCACAAGTTGCCAGCAACGCTTTGACGGCAGGCCGCAGAATACCTACCGGTACCTACACACCAAGGCCCGTGGCAAGGGTACGGTACCTCTTCCAGGCTGTGCATGATGCTCATGATGGTGCTGACCACCTTGACTGATGTCAATGACTGGAACTCGGAAAGGAATGCACTGTGCATTGCATATTCAGGACTGTGTTTTGAAGGGATCCCAGAGCATTGCCATTGGTGTTCGTTGCCGTTCTTTGGCTCCTCTCTCAAGCCCACATGATGCATCAAAACCCAACGCACTGTGGCATTCCGAAGGACTTTTAGAGGTTCACTACCCTGCATGGAGGGCCGGGAATTTTCAACAGATTCGCTGGCATCGATGGGCGATGCAAAATCTCCATTGAAAACCGCCGCTGGAAGTGCCCAGGCCATTGTTTCTCACATGAGCATCGATTCCCAAGTAGGGTCGAGCAATTGGACACCGGAAAAGGTGGGGTTTGCGAGCTTTGGTGCTACTAGGGATGTTGTCCGTCCTGCTGGAGACCTAGTGGCGCCATTGCATTCCACAAATGCTTCTTCAGTAAAGGGCTGTGAGAGGGTTCCACTTGAAAAAGAATCTGAGGACAGCATCGGAGGCCAATTTAGGCGGCAAGGAGAAAGGGCTCGTTTTGAAAAAGGAAAGGCAATCGAAGAGGAGTCAGAAGGGATCGAACGGATTGGGGAAGGGCCTCAGGCAATGGAGACCGATACTCAAATGCACGCGGAAGAAACCGGGCGATGGCGGAGCGCTTCGGAGCCCGTTAGGAAAAACTCGGGGAAGGAGCACCTAGACAGGGAGGTGAACCCGGTTCTGCTACGGTTCATAAGTAGTGCCCACTTGTTTGATGGGTCGGTTGTTAACCCACCGGAAGAAAGCAAAGCTTTATCCAAGCAGCCGGCGTCGCCTACGCTTCTGAAACAGTCGTCCCTGACCAAACTGCAAGTGAGTCCCAGCTTCAAGCCCAAGGTGGGTCTTGAGCGCAGCCTCAGTTCTAATCTGAGCCTCAAGAAGCCCATCAAGCTGATGCCCAAACCCGCGCCTCTGCCCGACGTGGTCAGCCCTGCGCAACTAGTGCGCAGCGAGAGCGACTCGCCCGCGTTCGTTTTCACAAGTCAACCGTCGCCCTTTCTCCCGAACCCAGAACAGCCCACACGGCAAGATTCGAGCGGCTCGGAAGCGTTAAGCATCGGGGGGCAGTCCCTGGGATCGTCGGACAGTGGTGGGCTCCGATCGATGGGGTCGCTGAACGTGTTCCGTAACACGGGGGAGCCGGGGATGCATTCGGAGTACTCGGCGAATGAGGGGCCGTCAGGGTACGGTGGAGATGGGAGAGGGGGCGCAAACTTAAGCAACTCAGGTGAGTGGAAGTGGTGCATTGGGAAGATTGGGCCTTCTGTTGAATCGATGGTGTCTTCTGAGGTGGTCGATGTTCATGCATTGCGCAGAAATGGGTGACATTGTATGAATAAGTGGTGCATTGCGCATTTCAGTGGATTGGGTTGTGTGGTTGGGTCCACGCGAGATCAAAGGAGGATTCTGCAATTGGTGCAACTGGCAATATTGATGGTACTGTCTTCTTTTTCATGTGTCCTCTGCACTTGCTTGTTCTCATGCACTTCATAAACACGTGGTGCATTTGGAGAGTTTGACGATGCCTCGCATGCTTTGGCTGATGTTCACGCATCTGATCATGGTGCAGCTTGATCAGCTTGATCATTCTGAGAGACTCAAAGGGTTGAAATACTAGAGAGTTCTTGAGCTTGCTGAGAACCTGGCTTGCTTCCGGAGTCATTTGCGTGCTGACTCCGATTTCCATGCATTTTCTATACTTGTTTGGCACCATCATGTAGCATTCCAGAAACCCTTGAAAAACTGGTGCATGTGCAAGGATACAGGTGAAAATGCGGTTGGCGGGATGACAAGGGATGACATGCAGCCTTAGAGCTCCACCATGTTTTGGTTGAATGGCTGATGATGACTTCCCTCGGCCAGCTCTGAGCTGGCTAAGAGCATGGAAAGTTATGTTTCGAAAGATAAACCAAATAATGATACGCCATTGCGATTGGTGGGCTGTCAAAAACTCCAGAATTATTATCTTGCTTGCTGTAGCCTAAAATGCATCGCGCTAAAGTGATTGTTTCTGCTGTCTCATTCACCTACCTACAACCACTACTCTCAAGAAACCGATCGCTGGTCTGTTGGTGATGGCCTTTTTCAAAGCTAGAATGGGGTCAGTGGATACCAGATTCAGCTGACCCTAACCTTGGCAAGTCATAACTTAACCACACTTGCACCTGAGAGACACTGTACTGAAGAGCTGGGGACCTGTTTTCGGTTGGTTTAAAACTTGTTTGCTTAATGCAGGCATTTAGTAAGACCCAGCTTTCATGTGAAGGAGGGCATACAAGTTTCCCTTCTGATATGGCTTGGGTCGACGGAGCAGGCTGAGCTGGCTTCTCTCGACTTTGCAAAAATCGCACAATAGCTCCCCATGTAGAAATCGGGAAGAACGCCAGGGGCGAAGGCACTCTGCTAGGCCTGGCGATAATGACAGGGGGGATTATTACTCTTAGAATATTTTGGCTTTTCTTCCCACACTGGGATATGCAGTGTGTTAAGCGCCTATATGTCTACTGGTTTGAACTGTTCACAGGAGATACTCCACCCCCAATTTTGATGGTCGGCGTGCTTTCTTATAGTTGCTGAGAAGGTCAATCTGCAGCGAAGCATACCGAACGGAAAAGGCCTTATGGTTCATTTGTGAACCGTAGGCTTATCTTTTTTGGATTAAAGGAGCTAGCGGCCCGAGCTACGGTGAAAAAGCTGCAAAAGAAAGTCTTCGGTAACTTGTACTTTGAGCTACTTGTAAGGAAGCCAACGACACCTTGTATGGCGAATGGTTCGGTGTACTCCATACAATCTTGAGGCGCTTATTGTGCATTCACAAATACTCGCTCACCCTGCCGCGCTTGCTTCACTCTGATGGCAGCTTTCGAAGTAACATCGGGGCTAGCATCAACAAGCTAAAAAGGGTTGAACAGAGACGCTTTCGGGTTTTGCCAGTAGCCCCCACTCGTTTCGGCTGCTTCTGTTCAAGGTGTCAGGTCTATTGCCTGTTAAAATATTTTAAGGGGACGCTCTCAGGTTCTGACAATACCCCCCACTCGAATCCACAGGTTCCGGGGGGTTGGTCCAGCTAGCAAGCGCTCACCCAGTCCTCGCGCCCCGTCTCCCGAAGTTCTTTGGAAGGGCGCAGCCGACTCCTTCAAGGGGGCAAGCGGCAGTCAGCTCACAAGTGCACCCCATGAGTTTGTCAGAGGGGCCGATTCTCACCAAAACGGTGCAGGTGAAATCCAGCTCCGGAAGAAAGGCAAATGGGAAGGAGAGGCAGCTTGCCAATAGGGTCGTTCTCTTTAAGCTGTCTTTAATGTATTCCAAATAAAGCTCGATGTGTGGTCGTAAGCACTGGCTAGACCCTCAAGAAAGCAATTCAGTAGAAGAAAAATAAAGTCCCCTCCCGTTGCTTCCCAAAAGTGGCCTGAATGAGGACAATCCTCTCCCCCCTAAAGTCATTCTGCCCCCTATAAATTTATTGAGGATCCCTCTCTTATGATACTAGGCTCCACAAACTTCAGTCCACAAGCTAGATTCTTTTTCATGTCTGATCCCAAAAATGTGGGCCTCAGCAAACTGGGCAACTGACAAAAAAGCGTGCCAGATCTTTTCAATCATGGCCAAGAACTCCTCGAAGGCAACTTTGGCTGTTTACAAGTGCCGTTTCCCTGCTACTCTTCACTGCTCTTCTTATAGCACTGTCATTACAGGTTGATGTGAAAACGGGTCAGAGTAGACTCGGGATTCTACCTGTCACAATCAATGTGAACTTCCTCCGTTCTCCGGGAAGAGTATGCGTTCCCGTTAAAATCGATCTCCTGACGGTTTGACACCGCTCCTGCAGGTTAAGCCCAGCTTCGGGTCTTCGCTCAAGAAGATGGTGTTCAAGAGCTCGAAGAAGAGCGGAGAGTTTGTACGGGACCCTGAGCTCGGCGTTGTGCCCGCGGCCCCTGCAACTGCTTCTGCTACGGGCGAGGTGGATATTCTCTGCTCTCACCCCTGTAATAGCAAGCCTTGTCTGCTTTCGGGGTCTTGGATCGTCGGCGAGGTTGTTTCATTCGCAATTTCGGAGACGTTGAAACATTTTTGGCGATCCTGCTGGTATTGTGGCTGTTTGGCGGACATGGTAACGGGTTCTTTGTGTATGGGCTACGGGTACTCCAACAACAGTTGCATCTCCCAACTCCGGAGGACTCTCAAAACTGCCTTGTTTTGGTCTTACCATGAATCCAACGGCTTCCGGGTTGTACTCGGTCAACATGAACTTACCTTTCGGAACACGCACCGAGCGGCGCGTGCTTGCCTTGGCGATCTCCGAGTGGAGTAACTTCAAATGACGTCAGTGAACCAGCTTACTGGTATCTTACCTTCTTAAGATAAGCTCGTCTGCGTTCACAGGTGTGGAGTGACGTCCACATACAGGAGAACGCGGCGCTGCCCTCTGGATGGCGGAAGCCCTTTGCTGATTCAAACTACGTTCCCCAGTGGTCGGCCATCTCCACTGAGTGAGTAACTGGTGTTAAACCAGCTTTAAGTCAGAGTGGTTTTAAGAACTTGACACCGTTTGGCGTTTCTAATTCTAAAGGAAGCCTTCTGCCGATGTAGATTGTATAGCCCCCAGTGGTCAGCAATCTCCACACAGAGTGAGTGGGCGGTGTCAAGCCAGTCGTGTATGAAGTCACTTGAGAACGTGACACTTCATTCACATCCCGTGCAAGCCTTGCTTGGAGTACTAAGAAATGACACGACAGAGAGTTTTTACGGAAGCCCTGTGCCGCTCTGCTGACAGAAGTCGGCGTTTAGAAAGACTGGTGAAAGGTGCCGATTTAAGCTCAGCGCAAGGTTTCCAGAAAGATGTGACACTTCTTTGATATCAGCTCCGATAGCTCCTTGCCGGCGTGGCCTAGACCCACTGCTAAGAACGGGTTGCCTCCGGTACTCAAGTTCTGGTTGATGATAGTTAGACGCTTTGAGAGCAAGAGACGGGGGCAGCGTAGAGTTCAACTTCAGACGCTTTGAGAAGCAAGAGACGGGGGCAGCGTAGAATCGAACTTCAGAACGCATCATTCGAGTCGGACGGACGCTCGGACTTGATGTTCAAGACAACGGTATCGCGACTTTTACAACTATACAGTTTCTTTGTTGGTTAGGGATGTGACTGCTGAAACCTAGTTCTCTTTCTGCTGCAGCGAGTTGATATCCCAGCCTGCTCCACCGAGAATCGGTACCATTCTGTGCTACCTCGTGCGGAATCGAGACAAGAAGCACCCGACCTTCTGGATGTACACGCAGGTGAGCTCCTTCCCCCGCTTTCTTTTCTTCTTCTTTCCGCTTTGCTTCTGTTCTAATAACATCTTCCTGTGTCGATCTCAGTGACTTGATTACGGCCTAGCAGGGGAGGTCAAGCGCAAGAAGACTCGGCGAAGCTGGCCTACACAAGCATAGACCGAGTCCGTATTCTACTGTACCCATGGAGCGGGCTCTATTGATTCATACGAAAGCGGAGCTCTGAAATGTCGGCTGACGTCAGCGGGCTGCCCTGTTTGAATCACTAGCATACACGGTCTACACTCGTCCTAGGCCGCTCGTTCTTTGCTCGGTTCAGTTCTGCAAACTATGACAAGGTTGACAAACGCCGGTCGTTTATGCCTGGTTGATCTCACACAGCTGTGGGCTGATGTCTTGGCGCCACTTCGGGTTCGTCCATTACCCCTTAATCTTGCGGTATTTCCACCCGGTGTTTACCTTAGAACGTCCGCATTCTTTAGTCCAGGAAAACACGGTTGCCAAACGGTTGCTTCTACTTGCCCGCTTTAATAGCCGGGGTCCGTTGGCGGGCGGTGAATACATCTTTTTATCAGGAATAGCTTCTGTGGAACCTTGGACTTTCCTCAAGCTGATGTAAACCCATTCGTGCAGGAAAGCACGGTGGCCGACCGGTTGCTCTTAGTCGCCCGGTTCAAACAGCCGCGGTCCGATGGCGGGCGGTGATTGCATCTTATTCACGAATGGAGACGTTTGCTGGACGATTTGAACCCGTTCAATTCCCTTCTTAACGCTACGTAAGTCTATTGGCCCCTGAAAACCCGTTCGAAACCCTCTGTAAAGTGGGAGTAACTCATTCATGCAGGAAAACACGGTTGCCGACCGGTTGCTTTTAGTCGCCCGGTTCAACAGCCGGGGGCCGATGGCGGGTGGTGAATACGTCGTCTCCAAGAGCGAGAGGGGCCTTCAAACGAAGGACCAAAGAGACGGCTACTGCGGGCGTGTTCGATCCAACTTTTCCGGGTCGCGCTTCCAGTTCTACGACCATGTGAGGGGTTTTTCGAAGGGCGTTTCATCTTTGTTTTCTTGGGTTTCTCTGGATGGTTCCATAATTCAGGATTTTCTCAACATGAGACGGCTACTGCAGCTTAGTCCGGTCGACCTTTCCGGGGTCACGTTTCCAGTTCTACGACCCTGTAAAAGGTCTTCCGGACGCTTTATTTTCTCTGGTTTTCTTGCATTGGAGTTCTTGGGATGAGTATTCAAGATGTGAAACGGCTTCCGCAACTTCGCCGAGTCCGTATTCTCGGGGTCTCCCTTCCACTTTTACCACCATGGAAGAGCGTTGTCTGCCGTCTAGAAGCCTGTATCCGATCCTTTGGAGTCAGGCTTCGACAACGAGTCTTTATTGCGGACATTCATGATGAAAACATTCGTTGAGGCCGGCTTCTGTCATGCTTCTTGCAGTCCCCCTCCCATGACCGGTTAGAACATCCTATAAAGCCCACGACAGAAGTTGATCAGTATGGAACGGTCGCCTTATCGGATCCGGACGATCCAGACTGTGTCCGAGAATGCAGATGTGGACAAACCCCGGACAATAATTTAAGCATAGTTTGGGACGATTCTCTGACCATCTGGACGCCTCCTTTTCGCAGACTGTGTCCGAGAAACAGATGTGGACGCAGGACTCTGTGGCGCACACCCAGGGCGCTGTGAGGTGAGGGGGCGGGTGACGTCACCTTGTTAACAGGCTTTCGTCTTGCCTGAGCCGCTCTCTTCTTAGTATCCCTCTTCCTCTGTGCTGACAAGGAGTAGGTGCGGTAGAGGTGATGATACTGAGTACCTGAGTGTCAGAAACAAGAAAGAACTTATCCTCCCTACGACTATAAGAGGATTCCTTACGGTTCGGAACGCGAATCGCTGACGTTCAAGCGTTCTCGTTGGGCGAGCTATATGAGAGTCATTCGCTGAGGTCCTGCTAAATCTCACAGCAGTCATTTCCTGGAAAATAAGAAGTTTATAGTTTTCTCGACAGGGAGTGCCCGGTCGTGCCAGCACTCTGATATTTGCGGTAACCGGATGATGCAGTTGGGAATCGACGGCTAACACGCTTGCGGGGGGGTGGCGAAAGATGGGCGTTGCGGTGAAAGCACTTGACGAGGAGTCGCCAGCACCGACGTCGAACAAGGTGGGCGCCTTTTAACGTAGTCCAATGAAATGATTGCGAATGAATGCGTAAGTATTTGCATTTGGAGGGTTAGACAGTCAAATTAAAGATTCGGAAAGGTTAAAATTTTCTGGAATGGTGCTCGGAAGCCCCAAAAGGACCAGAACAGCCTGCAAATGTTCTTTTTAGGCGATGGGAATCGAGATTGTTGTCGGAACGAGCATAAATGTTTCTGCTTTCCTGGTCGATTGTCGGAAAGCAATTCAAAATAGAGTTGTTCGGAATCATCACCTTAGACTACGGTACTCCTCTTCCCATGCCCTAAGGCACTTTCATGAGAGAGCATACAAGTAGTAGAATGTTTGGTAAGAACGAAACCCAGACCACAATCGTGAGGTACTGAGCCCTTAAATCCCCTCAACTTCCTTGGCTGCTGGATATTCTGTTGACCTTCTCATGAGCACGAGCCTAATTCTGGTTATGCTTTTGACTTTCCTTGTCAGGCAAAGGGTAAACAAAAACCTGGGCCTTGAATTACTTCGTCTTCTTCTCGGTCTTAAACCTGTTCCTGAATTGCCTTATATTCTATATTCAGGTCAAGGGATGTGAAGCATCGAGCCCGTTGCTTCCCTAGTTGAGAAACATTTGGCAACAAATTCTCGAGCATGGAACGGAAATTAGAACTGCAGTCTGCTTATTTTTCCAAGTGAAACTGTATCGACAATTGGGTCTCGAGTTCCCCCGGCCGTAAGACTAGCTGGCGACCGCTTCCGACCAAAGCCTGTGTCTCGACCTGCTTTCTCAATTTGTCCGTTAGCCTGTTTCTGAAACTACGTTCTGCTCTGTTCTCAGGTGAAGGGGGATGGAGAACCGGGCCCCTGGTCCCCGCGGTTGTGGGACAACATGGAGCGCGAAAGGCAGTGCCGCTGCCTGCTGTCAAAAGAACCGGAGCACAAGATTGTGAGTAACTTAACTGCTTTAGGATCATGGTCGGACTGAAATTGCACTGAGCGTCAGGGCTAGGTTAGGTTCTAGAGTTTGGTTAGGGTTAGGGTCAGTGTTCCGATTTCAGTCGGACTTTTCGACATCTGCAAAACAAGGTAGGCGTGGTAAACTTCTTTGGATTTCCGGAAACATTGGCGTCTTTGAACCTAATTTTGTGGATCTTGCACTCTGACGGTCCTCACACAGTCGCTCCCTTCTTGTAAGGGTGTCAAATGCTCTAGCAATTTGGCTCTGCGTGAAAAGATACGAAAACGCCCAGAAGAAAGCTCGCTTCCGGGCAGATTCGCTTTCCCTCTTGTATGAAGCCAGACGTCTTTCACGCTGTGGCTCATGAATGGAGTCCTGACCGTCCGTTCCCGCCACGTGGCAGGACGACAAGGGGCGGGAGAGCTTCTTCCTTCAATACGGCGACAGGTGCAACTTCCCGTCAAAGCGCAACTTCCAGCTAGTCTCAAAGGTGAGGGGATCCAGGGATCTGTCCTTGTGGTTGCATGGGAAAGTCTTCTGCAGTTTGATTGGGGACTATCAACCTTTTCCCACGGACCATCTTCGAGTTGATGGAGAACGCTGGTTGAGCTGACTGCTGACTTTAGGTCACATCCGCCAAACATGTCGATTGACCTTAGGCTTCCCCTTGAATTCCGAGTGAATAATTGGGTTTGATACCGATTTTCCGACAGACTCGGGACAAGGTCTTTGAATAGACCTGTTCATGCTCTAGTTGATTGCAGGTTCCTTCAAAATCTCTGTACTACTTTTCAAGTCTTGCGCCTTCAGTCGTTCATGAAGCTTCCGTGATTTTGCCGACCCAAGCGTTACAACCATGAAACACCTCGAACCAAAAATACTCGTACTTTTGGTATCGCCCTGGACAATCACCTTCTCTGTTCGGCAGGCCTGATCACAAATTGCTTTAATTGGACATCTAAAGCAACACGGTATCTCTCTTGTTACAGGCCGATCCTGACGCCGTAGTGTGTTTACTGGGGAAGGTTGAGCAAGACGCGTTTGCACTGGACTACAGCTATCCTCTATCCGCATTCCAAGCGTTTTGCGTTGCGCTCACGTCGATCAACGACAAGTGGTGTTTTGCAGTCTGATTTGCAGCCGTAAGAGATTTCTGTACAGTTACAGTTAGAAATTTATGGTAGTTGTGGAAGATGTGTACAGTGATAGAGCACCGGAAGACAGCACACACCGTACCCATGCAAAGACAAAGAGTACGTTGGTTTTAACCGCACTAACGCTTTACGAAGCCGGGGAGGTTTGCCGTAGACTTGTGTAATAAGTTGGGTTCAAACTACTGGTATGTTGTTGAGACCGTTGAATCCAGAGTGATAAGGCGTCCGACCTTTCTGACTCGGTTGTTGTCAAAAGCTGCTGACTCGGCGTTTGCTAGAGGTTGAAGTCTTGAGCAGAACTCAGCCTAACAGCACGTATCCCACTGGCTTAGAAACTTAGCCACAAAGTAATCACGTCCAATAGCAAAACGGGCCGTCCTTAGGGTATCTAGCGGGGACGTACTTGTTCACAGACGACGTCGCTCATGGTAGGAATTGAAAGTCTTGGTAATCATTACCATGCAATTAATTCTGACGAAGGGCGAGACCTGCCAATTGGCAAACGAATATCCCACCGTCGTCGGAACGTCCCACGCTCACTGGATATTGCTGGATTCAGTCATTAGATGTTGCAACATTCAACGATGAACTCATAACAGTTCGTATTGCGGAGTCATCATGGTGTTCCGACATGATGTCTTAGTCATCATGAACTGCGCATATGATAAGCAGGATACCAATCTTGACTCAATTAATCAATCACAGCTAGATGCAGCATGCAATCATTGTTTCCGCTTGTCAATAGCTTCGAAAACATTTTGTGTGCCCGTGGCAGTACTAACAAAAAACTTCCGTGGCATGCTGACAAATAACTTCCGGCATAAGTGAAGTGACTTGCAGCCGGAATGCCGCAGGCTCATGTGTGCGCACAATGAACCGGCCAAATATAGCCAAACCAGTCTTGCATTGGCAGCATGGCAGTGCCAGGACGGTGGTATTATGCGGCCATCTATCGACCGTACTGAGCTAAGTTTGGGCAACTTAAGAACCGTCTCTAATGGAAGTATATATATTGAAGTCTGTCAACAACAACCAATCTCCACAAGGTTCGTTGCATCCACACCGACTTGAAGGGTCAAATACGTTAGAGAAAATCTTGAGGCACTGTTCAATTATGTACGGCCAGCCAAATCACTACGCAACGACTCGTTCAATGAAAACCTTCTAGCGGCTTAGAAATGTAGGTTTAGAGGAATCTTCAACCACGTTTGTACAATTCAACATATCAATCCGTGGATAAAACCGACCTTGTCAACAATGTAGCTGACGACCTGCCTGGTCAAGCATCAACGTAACTCGCTTTGATGCAAGGCAAATTGTAACATAACTTACGTCAGTGCATTTTGCGTTACTACCCCTGCGAGACGACACTACAACGCTTGCCACGACTCCTGGGACCTGTCAACTAGACTAACATAGAGGGACTCTAAGCAAGGCTGATGGGTGCAGGTGTGAAGATTCCGGTCTTGGCATACCAGTTCGGGGTGGGGCTGAAAGTGGTATTGCTCAGGTAAGTCCACAGAATTGTGGCAAAATGTTGGAGGACCTGCAAAGACGATTCCCAACCTTCAATATATGTTGGCGCTTTTGCACAGAAAGGACGACACGAAAGTGGCTGGGCTGCCTTGAAAATGTGGCTCAATCAAATGGCTGCAAAGCAATCCGCACATCTTAGACTATTCTCCGACGCCGAGTTCCTACCGAATAAGTAGAGAAGCACGTTGATGTGTTGAAGTTGAGATGCAAAGTGTAAGTGCGTCGGAACGTTTGAGCACAACTCGAAATGACACTTGGGGATGTCTGCTCCCACAAACAAGATGTCTTGCTCAATCAGACACCGAAGTAGCTCTAGCAAAAGGCGTCGAAGAAGTAGGGGAAGAACGGACTTGGAAGGGGTTTTCTTGTGGCCCCACGAGCTGCGCTCGGTTCGACCAAACCTCCGAGATGCTATTGGCAGCCGTGTCTGGTGCGCTCGTGAAAAAGTGCGCCTTCACCGGGTTACGTTTGGATCGAAAACAGAGACCAGCTGAAGCAAAGCAATCAGCTGCTAAGTTTTTGAGGGTCTTTAAATGTGGAGTGGGTGATTGAAATAAGATGACGAGACGCGACTCACCGGGACCTGGACGGTGATGAGGGCGTTGGTCGGATCGATAAGAATGAACTGCTTGACGACGGGGGCCGTCGTGTTGGCGAGCGGGTTAGCGGCGGTAGCCAGGGCGAGGTTCGTGGTCAGGTAACCAAGAATGGCGCCGACGCTGGTGATGCTGCAAACAGACGGGTTGAAAAGGTTAACGATGAGGGTTTACACTGCGACTAACAATGAGGTTAGTGATGAGAGTTAACAGTAAGCGTCTCTCGGTTCTGGACGGCAACTAAGTAGCGTCAAATAGCTATCACAGAGGCCGCAAAGTGCGAAGCCTTCCACTGAGATGCTCAAGTCAGGGTGCTGCCCTCGGAAAGGGGCAGTTCCTCTGACCACTAGCAAGTGTGCGTTTCTTACGCTCTTAAGGGAATGAAACAAGAGTGAGATAAACGAACTCGACGAGTACAATAATACACTATTTGCGTCAAGGAGACGTGTATTCACACGCTGAGGAGTCCTAGACGTTCACCACCTCACAAAGGAGTCAAGTGAGCATCTTCTCGAAAGAATGCTCACTTCAACGGGCCGGACGTGTTGGCGGCAAACACGGTGAGGTCGTTGGTGATATATGTCACCACAGCAGTGGCGTTCTGCGCGATGGCAGCGGTCGCGAAGCCCAGGGTACGGGCCACAACGGCGGCCTGGGCAATCGTCGCATTGGCGGTGGCGTTCATGGTTGAGTTCCCGGCAATCGCGGTTGCGGTGGTGTTGGCTGCGACGGTGGTCGTGTTGGCAGGGACGGTGGTCATGTTGGCGGCAACATCTGCAAAAACAGTCAGAAAGAGTTGACACCAAGCAATCTACCAAAGGCAGAGGTTGCCACCAAGAAAGAGGAGAACGGCGGCGGATGCGATACCAGTGTGTTGGCAGCGATGCTAGTAATGTTGGTGGCACTACCAGATGGAGAGTGACTTCAAGCTGGGAAACAAACACCAAGCTCGAGAACTCTGCACCAAGCTGGAGAATTTGACACCAAGCTGAAGAATTTGACGCCAAGGTGGAAAGGGTTTTAGGGTTTTAGGGTTCGCCCCCTAAGATTCTCCAGGAAAGCCTGCTGATAGTGCCCGTGTTTCGAAAATGAAGCAGTTTGTCAATGCCCAGTCTTTCCCTATATATTGACTACTTGGAAGGCCCGATGCGGATTCTCTGGTCACAAGCCAAACAGCTTCTAGCGGGTGCAACTCACTACCACTACGGAACTTGGAATGTCTGCGAGCCTAAAACTACAGATTATGAAACTAGAAGCATGGCTCACCAGCAACGACAACGGTTCCAGTCATGGAGGCGTGCACAGTGCACACGTAGGTGTAGGTTCCAGGAAGAGTGGGGGTGAAGCTGACGTTGTAGGGAGCCCTGATAGGCTGGGGGGGGACCGTGAGCCCCACAATACCATTGGTAGCGATGCCAGTGAAGCCGGCAGGGAAGGTCAGGACTGCGGCAATAGAGAGAGACCAAAGTCAACCAGAAATTTTGCGCGATAACAATGAGCAGATTCAACAGGCAAAAGTTCTTCCGAATACTTGTAGGCCATGGAATTTTTGAAAAATTGGTACTTGCGGAGACACTAAGTCGAAATCACGCAGGCGCACAGGAAGAGCATGGCAAATTGGCGCGTAGAATGCTTTATATCCTTCAGAAAGCGTCAGCAAAGCAACACTCCATATGAGCACTCAAGCACAAGCGACTATATGAGCAAGAGCCCTTGAGCAGTACGAGATGATTCTTTGAAGCCTCCAAGATTTTAAATAGATCGGAACTCACATTGGATGTCATGGGGAGCCGTGTCCGTCCAGGTCCAGATGATCGTGTCTCCCACATTGACAGTGTCAGACAGAGTGATCGGCACCCTCCAGTCCTTGTTGATGACAGCCGCCGACGCTGCAAGACAGTGTTCCAATTTCATTGTTAGTGCTTTGCTTTCTTCAACGGCTGATTAGGTATATGGCTCCTTCGGATGGGAGATGTTCCTGATGCTTCTTCAGTAAGTCTGAGAAATCACAAAGTTGTTTAGTTTCTCCCCCTGATGTCTCGTGTTAGTGACAAAGCATCCTCCATTCTGCTGGTGTCAAAGTTTCTTGGGGTTTGCACAAAGAAAGAGATAATGTACTGCCTGCCGCTTACACCTAGAACGCGTTCTGACGACATATCTGCATGCAGACAACCCTCCTTCAATCCTTAATTACGCTGTTCCCTGTCCTCTTGCTGTCCAAGGTGGAAGTGCACCACCCGTATGCAGATCTGTGGAAGGCATTAAATGTAACATGTACCCCCTGTGCTCTCAATATTCTGGGGGACTTCCTGAGCATCATAGGGAAAAGATGGCGCCATCATGTGACCAAAGCTAGACACCCCGATCACAAGCCCCAGCTAAGAGGAAATGCTTTTACGTACACACGCAGCCGGGACAAGTTTCCTGCTCAAAGATGAAGCCCAGAAGCAGCTCTGTGTGCTTGCACGACTCCAGAGAGAACGAGCACAATACTTGAACCAGGATTCTGTTCCGCGTTTGAGCCGGACAATTCTAGATTCAGTTCAAAAAGGAGCACTGTAAGAAGCAGAATGTCCCCTTGCTTTCTGGGTTGAAAAGCTTCTTACAAGGCACATGCTGCACCTTTTTGGCAGATCTTGAATCTCTGGCAGAAGTGGTCATGTCAATTACCGCGGTGTGTTCTGTCATACATGACCAATGCCAGGCACGACTCCAAAAGGCTGCAACTTTCAATCCTTCAGGGCACTGCCCCGAACATTGCTGACATAGATATTTTCAATTTCGAAAACACGTCTAAGCCCGCGCTTAGGGACGTGTGGTCATTCAGGTAGTGCACCGCCTAGTCCACTCATTTGGTTTTGAGCTAGATCTGGTTCGCGAAAGAAACAAACCTCCAAAAAGAAGCAGACGCAATGCTGGGAATCTGGTTACAATCCGACGGCCTCGTGCAGACATAGAGAATAAATGACTTCACGAAAAGCAGATTTGGGACTGACAATGCTTTAGAGACGAAAGGCATGAAGAGCTGGAGCTAACCATTAGCATGCTGCATTCTGACATTAAGCTCATAAACAAGGCTTCGGGTACATAATGCAAGGCTACATAAACGTAAACCTCTGCATTTCAGCAGCAACCTTGATCCGGACACAAATGGAGAGATTCCTGCTCACCTTGGTGAACAGCAAGCGCGAGCACCGCGCACAGGATGAGGGACTTCATGGCGGCCATGTGAGCTGTAGGGTCAACGATGGTCCTTCTGCTGAGCTGGTTGTGGCGTTTGCTGAAGACTGTGAAGTGCTCAGTCGAGGACCACAATGAAATCCACCAGCTTTGCCTACGTAAACCTTTTGGCAACTCGGCAATTGCAACAAGCAGCTTCTAGATCTGTACATTCAAAATGTTCAAATTGTACTCTGCACAAAGTCGATCAGTTCTTGCCGGCAGCCTGGAGAACTTTCCTGTCCAAATTACATATTCAGAATATTAAATCTCAGCTAATATTACCGTACACGAATTCGGAATGTAGCTAGTTAACAGAAACTTAGACCCAGACATGGTTAAGAGCTCCGCATACCGTACGAGCCCCAGAACCGAGTCGGGTCCACAAGTGGATCGGGCTGAGCTAGAAGTGGATCGCTTTATTTGTTATCTTGTTCCAGTCTACGCCGATCGCCGATCCATCAAGTTTTCTTGCTCTTTTTGGCCAAAATCGAAGGTTTTCAGGGCTGCAAGGACCTCCTCGGGGCCAAATCAAATTGCGATTGCTGCCCTCGATGGGGCTCAGTAAGACAGGATATGTGCAGAAAACCGCTTCTAAAACGGTCCATATTTGGTCCCAGCATTGCAAATAAGCGCTCAAAAAATAGGTGAGCCGGTATAGGGTCTCGTACGGTACTTGTGCATATAAACCACCCTTTCACTAACCCAACCCAGGGTTCCTCCATTATTATCTACCCGTCTTATAACCAAAATGGGAGACCAACGCAGGCGGCCTGGCCCTGGCCCTTAATTTAGAAATGAGTCAAATAATCAATTGGATGTTGACGATCGAGGCTCAGGTGATGTAGGTGATGTCAGGACCGATCAGAAGTCACCGTCTCCTTGCCCGGCCGCTGCGAAGTATCCCGGTAGTAGTCGGTAGACCCGTTTCAGGTTAGCTTCAAATGAGTTTAAAGAACCGTAGGAAGGCTGGATACCTATTGTGGTATTCATTTTCAGTCTGCGCTTTCTCGTATCGGGTTTTAGATCCTTGTTAGCCCAGGGTTAGCAGGTGCCAGCCTCCGGGTGGTTGGCTGGACTCCAGAGTCCACTGAGCATGTAGGGCCAAGGATCGGCTGGCTCAGTTCACAGTGACGCATGCAATGATGACTCAGCATCTGATGTATGCGCGGGGCCCGGGCCCGCGCTAGGATGTCAACACCAGCCTGCGTACATTCCGAAGGTTGGATTGACACCAGATCTAACCAAACGACCCGCAATGATCGTTGATGGAAAACTGTGTCAACGTTCTCGAATCGAACCTAGGGCCGCCGACGTGGCTCAACATGATGAACCGAGGACTCCCAAAAACCCCAGTTGATCTCTACTCTGCTCCCACTCTGCTCCCGGCGCGTGACTGTGACAGAACCGGCTACCTATCGTAGTTTGATTTATTCGGCACCTAGGATAGCTTCCAGTGCCAGTCCTGAGTCCTGACTCCAAGTTACCTTACCAGGCGGGCATTTAATATGCCGAAATGTGGAAAGCAATTGCCAAAAATACGGTAGGACCAGGTAGGACAGTGCGCCGGCCGGTATTCTGTTTCTCGACCTATTGAGCGTTCCGGGGCACACTGCTCGGGGTGCGCCGGTGATCGGTCAGTGCGTCGGTAACGTATCCGGGGTAGCCAATTGCCACCTGGCAGCCTGCGCGGGTTCCGACGAAAGTACGTGACGGCCCGGTGCGTTCGGACGACTCGGACACCAGGCAGGCTGCTCATCTGACTTGTAACCTATTCTTGAAACTGGACGTACGCTTTAAAAACATCCTGACCGCATAAGCGATTCTGTCAGGGCCTGTAGAGCCGTACGATAAGGGTCAGCATTCGTAACCGTGTCTTGATTCCTGTGCACAGTGTGCAGACTGCACTCTACGTGCCCCATGTGCAACTGAGGGTGACTGACTCAGCTCAGATTGGCCGGTAAATGCTCAACGACCTTGCCTGAAACAGCATGACGTCTTGTCTTGTTATTTTCAGACAGCGTTTTGACACTAGCAGGCGCTGACAATTCCATTGGCAGACTCAGAAGCCCTTCTGTGCAGTTTGCACAATCTGCCGCCCTACACGTAAGATTCACCTCAAGTTTGTTCACCTAATCTTTGTAGCGTGCGAGAATCTCGCAAACAAACCAGATACGTGGTGCCAGCTTCAACGATTCAATCTCAACTGTTCACATAACTACTTTAATCTGCTGTGTTGCATGAGAAGGCAGTCCTACCTAGATACTACGATCGACAAGACAGAGCTGCCTATGTATAGACACGGGGCCCCATGGCCCCATTGTTCAACTGTCTGAGGAGCACCCCGTGCATGGCACATGCCCTTATCCCCTGAAGCAATTTCAACATTCAAACACAATCCTAAAAATAGATGCTTGAGAATACTTCTGAAGCTCTATACTGTCGCTAGAAAGGGCTCAGAAACGGGTGAAGGGAGCTCATTTCCAAAGCTTCCAAGTTCCAAGCTTCAGACAAAGTGGTGGTAGGCGCAATGCTGGGTTGCTAGCTCCAATCACAAACGAATTGTGCAGCGTACATACCTGCCAACCCTCCTGAGCTCCTGCGTCGTTCTTTCAGAAAGGGCTGGCCATCGGAGTGGTGACGAGGGTGTGAGGTCACGTTGCAGCTCCTCTGTGCAGGTTGGAAAGTCCAATATTGGTTTGACGCGACAGAAACTTTGTGAGAAGTCTGCAATACAGGTGAGGGCCAGCAATGCTTCTGCTGGCTGTGAGGTTTTGCTGAACCTGTGCTCTCTGTTGTCTGATAATCATGTCTCCATACCACCACAGTATTTTTCAGAAACTTTTTGAAAAAGTCTTCTGCATTCGGACAAAGGTGGTTGAGTGGCGGGGTCAAAACCCTCTCAAGATAGGTAACCCTACTCACAAGGTGCTGAGAAAAAACAAGGCATGACCACTTTCTTATGGTCAGAGGGCAGGGCCTAGCCAAACAGATTAACGGCCCGGACAGACGTCAGACTTTGGTGGAACCAGGACCAAATGCGTAAATCTCCCTCCTTCAGGCTTGTTCTCAATTGAGCTCCTGATTCTAAGCAACAAGAGTTTCAAACTTGGAGAAGGAAAATTGTTTTGAGCTTGCAGGAAAATGAGAATGCAAAGATAACACTTACAACATGGGGCCATTGGTGCGCTCAAAATCAAACTAAAAGATGGCCACCTAAGAGTTTTGTCGAGCACCTCTCTTTCAAAATCTTGGTTTGGCCTTGGATCGAAGATTGTTCTAGGTATCAAATATCAACAACGCTCACTAAAAGCCCCATAGTGCAGTCTGAAAAGGCGATACATTTCAGATTGAGTTTTACCAACCGCACTGGAGTCTGATGTTTGTTTGATCTCCTGTGGTCAAAAGCTGCTGCTCTATCTCCACCTCTATGACATATTCCATACTTGGCCGTTCTCCTTCAGACTTTCTTGCTTTCTGCTCCATGTCAACTCCTGTATGACAGTGCGCTTTTCACCCTCTGAAAGAGCCCTTGGCACCTTCTACTATGCAACATTTGCCATTTTGTGCTTAAGAATAAGGAGCATGTGGCAGATCTCACTTGATATAAACACCTCAAAGCGCCATTTGCACTGAAAGATGGCCATGACATGGCTGGTAAAATATTTACACAGCTTTGGCACTAGTAATCTTTTGGTCCAGAGTTGTCCTTGCCGAACTTGTACACCTGCGACCACCCCAAGCTTCCTCGGGAATCTGGCAAGAGTCCAGCCAAACAAAAAAGAAGGCATTTTTGCTCTTCAGATTCTCTTGTATTACGCCCAACTGTATTCCATGGGCCTTCTAATTTGAAAATCTCTAGCTGATAAGTCCCATTCTATCTAGAACCTCCTACAATGTATCAGTGACACTGGTGGTATATTCTGCTAGCTAACCTTTCCCCAACCGTCTGATTGCAGGTTTACTATGGGGGCCCAAAGCTTTTACGTTGCCTGCTCAGCGCTACTGCTCCTGCTCCTCGTGATAAGTGGTGTCAACGCCCAGCCTGGGTGCCCACAGCCTGGTACGCAGTTCCTTAGCTTGACACCATCCGGCAGTAGAATTTTAGACAAGAAACACCAACTGAGTGCCTGCTTAGTAGGAATGAATGACTGAGCGTCTGTTCGTATCTGCAGTATTGAATGTGCGCATGTCTCCATGGGAGGGGGACTTTCGAGAGCTCTTTCATCAGATTAGCCGGTAGAGATTTTGTAAACCATCTTCGCAGAACTCTGGCCGTTGAAAATACCGCCAATGCCTTTGTCAGCCTTTGCTTGTGCTGGCCGGCAAAAGGGCGTACTTCATGGGACCGGTCAATTTCGCTGCTTTCTGTATGTGATCGAGGGTGGTGTCATTATAAAGCCATGAAGCTGCTATGGCCTGCCTCATTTCCAGACGGATCTACCTGCCTCAAACCTCCATCCTCCCTTCAGCATGGCTCTCAATGCGGCTCCGTTTCTATCTTACAAAAGGGGCCGTCGCAAGGCCCGTAACTCTTCCCCTCAACTTTGGTTTGACCCAAAATCTGTCAAGGATTTTGTTGTTTTAGGGTCTCCTTTCAAGGAGGTCATCCAGGTGTGACCACTTCCGAACACCCTGCTTTAACTTATTTGGCCGTATGATCAGCAATCATTACCGCGCTCTCAACTTTTGTCTACGTTACGTCAATATTTGTCGACCTTTCTCGTTTCAGGGGGTCCCCCGCCAGTGGGGCCGGTGCCTACCAACTGCCCCCCCCGGCTGCCAGAGAACAACGGGCCACTCTGCGGGCTCACAGCAGACGCCTCTCAGTTTAGCATTGCCGCAAGCGGGAGCTTCTGGTACGTCATCATGCTCGTACCTGACGTCATCTTCATCGTGAGGATGCTTCTGTAGTTGCTTGGAAAGGACATCCGTTCTCTTGTTGAAAAGAGGGCTCGCTCTTTTTTCTTACACGGTGGCGCGAAGTGCTCCGAATGGGCAAGGGACTACGAATGCATGCTCCCACATTTTGAGCATTCACTTCTTTTTAACTATTACTTCGTTGTCATTCTGCTGCATTTCGCCTCCATTCCGTTTCTGTTTCACAGTTTAATCTCTTCCAACGACAGCACCTCGGATTTGCGGGTCAAGGCTCTGGCAGCATACAAGACTTTGGGTCTCCCCACATTTACATATCGGAGACACGTCAATCCAAGACCTTCAAACCACAGAGCGCAGCTGCTGAGCCAGTAATCACAGGACCAGTCATTCCAGGCCCCCCTGCCCTCCAAACAGAGTGCTCGACTTTCGGTCCTAAAAGGGAATCAATCTGGCTTTACCATTATCAACCTCGTTTGTCAGGCTGACCTGCCTTGACCCTGCCCTAAGCCGGAATCAAACCGCTTGTTTAGCAAATGCTCAACTCCTCTGGTGACAAAAGCAAAGCGATTTGGCCTAACCCTGCCCTCAGCCGGCTCAAAACCCGCTTTCCAGGCGCATCCGGAGCAACAGTTGCCCCAACTACGACTGGACCGGTCAGTCCAGCCCCGCGCGCGGAGCCGTACAACAGAATCTCAACCTTTTGATTCCCCGTCATCCCATACTCCAAAAGGGGACCGGAACATTTGTGGGCACTAGTAGCCCGGTCAGGGGACCCATCGGCGTGGCGTTCAATGCGGTTGCCATGTTCAGGTGAGCGGCTCTCTTCTCGTTCTTGTTGTTTTGCCCCAGCTTATCTCCGGCTTGCTTCCGCCTGTTCCGCCTGATTCTCTGTCTTCGCTAATTGGAAGGTGAATCAATCTTCGCATTTTCTTCCTGGCTGGTTCGCTGAGCGGAGGTACCTTAAACGGATTTCTGTGGCTGTTACATTTGACAACAAAGCAACCAACTCGACACGTGCTTCAATGGTTTGGAGCCTAAAACTACTTCGGTAGAACTCAAACGCTAAATCGGCCTATCTTGGTGGCAGTCATTACAAGGCCAGAGTTCTTCGACCGTAATGACATGCAGAAGTCCTGTGAAAGGATGAACGCTTTCAGCCGGTCGAACAACGTCGTCATCTCTTCGCAGCTTTGTCGATGCTCTTGGTCGCAACGCGATCCTCTTCGAAGGATTCACTTTCGACTAATGCGGCGGACACCTGGCGCCCAATCCCAGCACTGACCACTTCCACCACTTCCACCGGGGATGGTTCACCGGCCGGTCAATATCAATAAGCTCCAACTAACCCGAAAAATCCTAACCCAAAAAAGAACCTGCTCCGCACCCCCTCCCCACCCTGATCCCCTGCGTAATTCTTATACCCGTCCCAGTGCGCTTACCAAATAACACGTTAGCATTCATTCCGTTCCTGATATTGAAGCTGACATCACCCCCATTTCTTGCAGTCCGGTTGACGCCCTAGGCCGCGACGCCCTCCTCTTCGAAGGCTTCACCTTCGACCAGTGCGGCGGCCACGTGGCACCCGGCCCCAACATCTACCACTACCACACCATGCCCGGGGATGGCGCCCCGGGCAGTCACAACAACACCCTGAACGAGGACTTCAACTTCTGTGCGCCGGTTGCGCCGCTAGTCGCGGGATCGCCAACCGGGCACTCGCCCGTGTTTGGGATCTTCTATGACGGGATCCCAATCTACGGTCCTCGGGTAAGGAACAACTTTTATTGTCTCTGCGAGCAGCTCCGTTTCGATGCTTCATGCTAGAACGAAGACTTCAGTTTCTGCGGGCCCGTCGCGCCGCTAGTCGCTGGATCGCCAACCGGGCACTCGCCCGTGTTTGGGATCTTCTATGACGGGATTCCAATTTACGGTCCTCGGGTAAGGAAGCAATTCAATATTTGGGCGAGCGCCTCTGCTTTGGAAGTTTGCAGAACGCCAAACGCGCCGCTACCGAGAGATTGCAACTTGGGCGCTTGCTCATACTTAACATTTACCAAGACGGGATCCCAGTTGACGGGTTCCGAACAAGAAAATTGTTTATATACCTAAGCAGGATACTAGCTTTCCCCTCGCCAGTTCAGCGCAGATGGTGTCAGTTTGACCAGGGCTTGCCCGATACAGGATGTCGCCACGTTTAGCCGTCAGGGTTGGCGGTCTTGGTCAGGGGCTTTTGCACTCAGGTTCATCACCTAGATCTTTCAGCTCGGAATGTCAGTAGAAACACTCTGCCTGTCTTCGAAAGAAATTGATTCATTGAAGGGACGACCAGATTTCGAACGAGCTGCGGGACGATCTGGCCGGCTATCTCGATCGTCCGTCGTTCGCAAAGAATTGCGAACGGGCTTGAAGTGCCGTTCAGCTTGAGAGATAAGTCAGGAACGTCTGGCCCAAGAAAACCTTAAGGTTTCGAGAAACATCGAGAGCCCTGCTGCAAATCCAAAGGACTTTTTCGAACTTTTACTGAATGATTCCAGCTCTCTCATGTTACGGTACGCTATCTCTGCAGTTCACAAGTTAAAGACCAAAAGAGCATGCCGTCTTGAGGAACTAGAGCGAGACCTTTTTCCCGTTGCATTTGCAGGGCGACAACGGCCAGCTCCCGCAGAACCTCGACGCCTGCAACGGACACGTGGACCAATCGTACCCGTATTACCATTACCACGCCACGAGCACATACCCTTACTTGGTGAGTTCTCCGAAACGCCGTTGCTTCATGCGCCAACCTGTTAAAGTTGGATTCAGTCAAATGTTTCCTCTTAGGGAATCAGTCTCTGTGCGCTCTTAGCCGGGCTCTGACTGTTCAGTCAAGCACGCCGCTGACTGATTTGCTTTGAGACTCCGCGTCTGTAGTAGCTCAGAAAACCGCGCCGACGGATTCGCAGCGACGGGTAGTCGCGAGTTCCCTGTCTGTATGTCGCCGCAAGCGACTCGGGCCAAACGCGCTCAGCTCAATAGAGCCGACCATACAACCAGAAAGTTTCAGTAGGAACAACGATCTGATATCCGGATAAGCAGGTTCGCTATCATCTTACACTGAATCCTTAGCACAACATGACGTGTTCCGCACCCTAACCCACCCTCACTAACATTCAGCGTCACCCAAAATCCGACTTCGTTGCAACAATCGGACCTTAAGAATATTTGAAGTGCAAAGATTTGAGTGATGTTGCATCTACGTTACAGGTAAACTGTCTCAAGGGCTGCGTTGATCAGTCGACGGGGAACAACAACTTCGGGAACGTTCCTTGCATTCCGGACGACGGTGAGGGGGTTTTCAGCTTCTCTGTTTATGCTCGTCGCTGTTTGTTTCCCTGTTCAGAGGCGTTGCGGTGTTCATTCTCCTGATCCGACGGCGCTGGGCTGTCTGGTCTCGTGATTCGACGGCGCTTTGGATCTCAGCATGCTTCTTGTTCCACAGTTCCTGTCATTAGGCTTGCAAAGAAAGCTAAAGAGAAGACTTTTGTTGAAGAGCACTGCGAGTGAATCAAACGCAGATGCGACTTACCTGTTGTCGGATTGATATCGGCAGAGTCCCCAGCAAGTGCGCTTGGCGTGACGTCAGGTCAAAACGCCGCACGTGCAGTCTTTTCATGGGCGAGGTCAGAGGGCACCCTACATCTTCAGGAGAAGAAAGAATGTCAAGTTTTATCGTAAGGGTATGCTTGTCTCTCCGGTCTGTAATCCAGATGCCTACTCTCTTCGTTGCGCGTCCATAGGCCGAGCCTTGGAGCTTTATAACCCACAGCATTACGGGTCTTTAAGCTAGTAGACTGTCTTAATTAAGCTTTGCTCATCTGTTTCTTGCAGTCCAATACGACTATTCTATCCTCGTCACGCAATTCCCTAGGTCTGCTCTCCAAGCGGCTATCTACAGCGCCCCAGGCACGTGCGATTCAGTCACCGGTGGATCTACCCCCCTGAACCAGTGCTTCAACAACGACGGGTCTTCGGTAAGCCGATCAAATAGTTCGTCCTTTTGTCTTAGGGACGGTTAGCAAAGATTCTCAACATAACTTGACTTGCGCCGTTGAACTAGAGCTTTTACAATGACGTTCTTTGCTAAGCCGATAAATTGGTTCAGCCGCCGAATTTGAGGAGGCTTGGCGAAACTTTTCTGAACAGAATCGGGTTTGCGCCCCAGAGGGAATCCTTTGAAAACGACGGGTCTTTGATGGCCGTATGGACGGCTTCGTGGCATTTTTCTTGGAGGAGCTCGACCAGACAACACTCAAGATGTACTGAGGAGCTGCCAAACGCTTCAGATCAAACGCTTCAGATCAAACGCCTCGGTCTTCCATTGTGATTTGCCATCGCTTGTGAATATCCAAGGCCGCAAATCGCTTTCTCTAAAGGCTTCCTTCGCTTTTGTTTTGCCACAGCTTTCACAAGCGATCCATTTTCCTGAGCTGGCAGAGAGCAGAAGATACCTGCTTTGATCACCATGTCCGTCCAGTTTCGTCGTTTTCGTTTTTTCTTCTCGTGTACTACTCCGGTCGCCGTATGACGGCATCTCCTGACTGCAGAAGCCTTTCTTCTTTGGCAGTGATAGTCTTGCTTTCTGTTGCCGTTTCCAATCTATCTACAAGCCGTCCGCGCTTATATCTCCAGCTCTGAGTAGATTGCTTCTAGTCGGTCCTATCGTCACATGTCGGAGTTTGAGAAAGCCCTGATTACTCCTGTCGGTTCCGATGCTCAATGAAAGCTCTTGCTGATTAGAACGGTTTTTCCCTGATCGGCCCATCAGCTTCAAGTTTAGTCAACCCGCTCAGCCTGTGGCTTTTCCCCTCTCTTCCGATTTTTCCTCACACTTTTCGATCAAACCCGTTGACCTTTTGATTACCGTCTCGCTTCCGACTTTCTTCTCTCTTTTGTAAACGCCCCTCTCGTTTCTTCCGGTTCTCTTGCTGCGCCGGCCATTGCGGCCCGGTAGGCCCTTCCCCGACGTGCGAGAGCGGCTACACTGTCCCCAATCCAAATGCCTTAAGCTCTGTTTGAACAGCTCTTTTCATTGTCCGCTCTCGAATGTTGCTCGCCATCTACGATTCGTTCTTTTTCTGCTCCGGTTCTCTTGTTGCGCTGGCACCTGCGGCCCGGTAGGCCCTTTTCCAACTAGTGCGAGGGTTTGGCACCATCACAAACGCCTTATGTATCTCCCGCTTTTGATTCATACTCGCTTTCTAAAATTCCCTCTTGTCTTTCCCAGTTCTCCTGTTGCGCCGGCACCTGCGGCCCGGTAGGCCCTTCCCCGACGTGCGAGGGCGGCTACACTTTCCCCAATGCAAACGCCCCGGCCAATACGACCGGGACCCCAACTCCGGTGCCTACTTCCTCCGAGGGGGGTTCTTCCGCCCCGATTCCTACCCCCCCTCCACAGCCCACGCCCTCACCGGGGAATCCTATCGGGGGAGCGCAACCCGTCGGAGGAGTTTGCGATCCCTACGGCCAGTACCCCAACCAGGTGAGACTATAACCAAAAACTTTGATAGTAGTGAGGATCTGATAGTAGTAACGAAGAGGAATATACTGGTCAACGGACTAAAACCCTGATTAGAACATGACTTGCTCCGCACCCGAGCCCAATGCAACCTTCAAAGTAAGCCCACCCGTCCTCATCGGTTGCTTGTGACCATTAAACCTTGTTACATTAGAAGAATCTGCACTGGGAAATAAGTGCTGTACGCACGGTATGTACAGATTGGTATGTCCAGATTGGTCGACATGTGACAAACGCTTTCGAAATTTGCTTGTGGGTTCGTCTCTGCTTTCGAGACCAGGTTTTCTTACTAGTCGCCGCTGCTCGTTGTTTCTCTGCTGCTGACGGAAGTCGTACGATTGAGGTACTCTACTGACCGCACGCAGCAGGCAGGCACTCCAAGCAGTTCGCCCCAATCGATGTCTAGCTTTGGGGCTTCGAAAGTCTGGCTTGCAGTGTAGCTTGACTCGTTACGCTGAACGGGGTGGAAATGACTGACCAGTGACGATCATTAGAATCAAGCCAAAATTTGCAAAGAGATACGACCAGGCAATAATGGCTGGGGGGGGGGGTTGTCCTCATATTGCATGTATGATCAAGTTACTGAGAGCTTTTCGGGGAAGATGGTCGCCCATAATCAACGGCTCAACGACCACCAACATGACAAGCCCGTCGCTTCTGGATTGCAGTGCTTCAGCTCCGATGGTTCTGCGTCCGTTTGCTGTACGGGAGCCTGCCCCTCAAGCCCCTCCAGTTCCCCCGGGTGTTAAAAAAGCGTGCGCGCGCGCGCGGCTGGTAAGGACCGGGCGGCTGCAAAGGAGGCGCGCGCGCAGAGGACTCGGCGGCCGAACAAGAGCGCGCGCGCGCGACTGATCAGGAGCGAACGGCCGGCAGAAACGGTCGTTTTCATTGGTTGATCGGTCTGGTACAGTGGTAGTCATGCTCGAGTCGACCTTGTGGTCATGGTAGACGTCTATGACCATGATTGGAAGTTAGCGAAAAGAATGCATATTGCTCAAGCACCCTTCCTTTAGAGCGTCAGATGATGTTGATGCTAGCAGCCGCTGAGCAGTCACGTTAGCGAACACCAGTAGTCTTGAAGTCAAGGTTCGGAGGAGGTAATGGAGCGTCACGTCTTGTGAAGATTTTCTTTCTTCTCGAGGTTACCAGGTTCCGTTGCTTGCTGATCGAGGTAAATGCACTTCCAGAGCATGAGGGTTCGAGTATGAAGAAGCTCCTAAGAAGTCGGTAACAACAGGGTACGAATGTTGACCCAGTGTACATCTAGAATAGTGACAAGTACCATAGATTGAATAGGAGCAAATCTTGAAAGATTGCTCAGTGTGTGTGGAGGACCATCTTGAGTGCATGAGTTGTTGTAGTCGCACCAGTCGTTTCAATGATTGCATGGCTTCTGAAGTCCAACGCCTTTCAAGATTTGTTTGCAAATGATGACTGCATTGATACAAGCCCGGCTTGGACAGTCGAGTCATGGCAGGCCGGCTGAAAACCGAGCTTCAATTGCGTTGGGAGGCCGATGATTGTATATTTAGTTATCAACGAGGTACTAAAAGTGAAGCGAAGTACAAAGCTCCTTGATGGAGACTCAAGACACGGTTCATTTGGCGCGCGTCCGGTCACTGTTATGCATGTCAAGCCCGCGCGGCCCAGCCGGAATCGTACCTGGCCACGTACTCGCCGCCGCCTACTAGTCTGCATGGCACACAATCTCTCCGGTATCCTCACGCTAGCTGCGTTTGGTCACGTATATACAAACAAGCTGCTTAGTAGACGGTGAGTCTGGCCCGAGTTAGTCAGGCATCATTGTACGAACTTAGAATCCAATGGCACCTTACGCCGCGCGGCGCTTTGGAATTCATAGAATTCACGATTTACGATTCACTCGATTACATCTGCCATTTGTCACACCGAAATTCATGTGCAAGATAGAGCCTGGCACGTGCACGGTGACCATCATTTGGGCGGACGGTCGGGCTTATCATGCATGTGGGTAGACGAATCATATCTATTATATATTGCATGTGGAATGCATACTAAAGGAGACTGCGATGAGCACGATCCGCGGTCATGCATGCAGATCGATGGTAACTTCCAATTAATTGAACGCGGTCCCTTAGCCGCCATGGCCGTGGAGCACTGACGGTCTCCGGCGCGGCCGGGAATTTGTTTTTTGACTCCGCAACTTGCTACGTACGGCTATACGAGTCATGTACAACATGCAGACTCATCGATCACTAACATATACAGGCTCCGGCCGGCGATCGTAGTACAATAGTTTCTGTCGGATCTAGTGGCCGGTGAGCTAGTTGCAGCGCGCGCCACCATCATGCTAGCTATATCTAGCCTGCACATGCCTATATTTCGCAATCGTCAGTTGCACTATTCGTTTTATATTATCTTAATTAAGCACCATCGGCCATGGCCGGCGCCGCCCGGCGTCAAGTCAGCGGACGGTCACTGACGCGCCGATCATTGCCGGCGTACGTTCCTGCGCATTCTACTGTAAACCAGGTTGCCAACTTAAGCCGCCGTCGCTAGAGTCGGACGGTCCGAGCCAGCCGTCACATGTGACGGTGTCATGCATATATGAGCTGCCCCCGCGTGATGCATCGAGTCCGCAGTGAGTCTGGGCTCACTCAGTGTCAGCTTTATTGGCGAAGTTGAGAGCGAACAAAAAATCGCCACCAACACGGCGCGCAGTCATGGCTAATTGATAAGTTGTGGCCAATTACGTTGTGTCATTACTAGCACACGGACCCACTGGACTAGAAAGCCCCCGGGCCATGTGCCAATGAGCATGTTGCATGCACCAGACTGTACGTACTTCAATGCGTGCCCATAGTCGCGAACAAATTAGCCTGACGATACCCCTTGTCCAAGTTCCATTCTGAGTATACGTTCTGGTTCCCGATCGATTCATTCAAGCAAGAAGAGTTTGTCCAAACAATTCAGGGACAGATTCAGGTAGGATTGTCGGCTTGAGAATATAAAGATCAGGTTGGTTCAAGCAGATTCGGTGGTGGTCTCTCGAATTGCCACGTCAATTACCTGCAAACCATCTCTTGATTACCAAAAGCTGCTCTGTTCAATATGAGTACAATACCTTCTCTGAATATTCTAGAGTACTTTCAAACTATGCCATCAGTCCTTCAACAATGAAGCCACAATACAGGTCCCTGCAAGGAAGCACCCAGATTGTCAGGAATTAACACTTTTGTAACTACTGAAGATCGACATAATCCAGAAAACCAAAGCTCTTTCTTTACTGGTATCAACTAAATGGGACTCTTCCAAAAGAGCACGACCTGGCACGTCAAATCAAGAAATGAAGAAACCCTCGCGTTGCCAGACGAATCCACAAGCAGAGGACGGGGAAGAGGGGAGCAAACCACGCTAGATAAGAGATAGAAATCATGCAAAACCCAAAGCGCTCTTGCAGTCGTCGAGTCACGAAGTAAGCTCGCAACTAGGATGGCGCCTCTCTCGAGACATGAATCTGGCCGAGGTTAGCAGTTGGCTGGATACTCAACGAAGTCCACTTCAATGAGAAACGGCTATGGAAAGACAACACCCCGTGAATAGACTAAAAAGGACTGATAAGAAGAGCCAGTTGACTATCCCTATTCACCGTTATTGCGGTATTAGCTGAGCATCGTTCTCAACACCTCGTAAAAATTGTCAACCAGGCTGCCTCTAAACTGGCATCAACATTTTGCAGAAAACATTTGCATAGAAAATGACGTCACTGCAGATCTGGACGATCAGGATTTTGGACGGCACTTTCACGAACATTCAAGCACCATGCACTTGGGAACGATGCACGTCTTACGCCCCCTCGAAACAGGGGCAACACTTACGATGAATAGTTTCTGACGGAAATGGCAATTGACGCCAAGGCCACATTCAGAAAGGCATGAGACAGTAGAAGAGATGTAGTGACAAGAAATCGCAGTGGCTGTCAACACCGAGGCCACATCCAGTAAGACATGGAGCAGTAGAAGAAAATAAGTAACCAAAGATCGCGGACGTGTGGTCCTTACATGGAGTGCTTGACGGCCTTGACCGCCTCCTCGGCGCCCAGGAAATCGTTCACAGCAACCTGCTTGTTCTCGTTCTTCTTGTAGTCCTCAAAGAAGCGCTGGATCTCCTTGAGCCTGTTCGGGGAGGGAGCCAGCTCTTGGTCAGCATCAAGATGAGATGAGGAGCAGAACTCTCATGAAGTACGCCTGGGCGTCTTTGATTGAACCCGCCTCGAATATCGTACAAGAACAGCAGATATGCTTTCGATGTTGCTCTACCTCCTCGATCCTAAATCAAAGTACCCAAACCAAAGTTAGCGGTCACCCAGAATCTTAGAACGCAGAACTGCAAGCATTTCATATCTCGATCCTGGCGTGTTGCTCTCTCTTTACACAGACAGGAAAAGGGCCTTGATAAAAAAGTTGTTCCGACCTGTGGGGGGGCAGTTGCTTGATGTCGGTGTAGTGGCGGAACTCCGGGTCGTCCGCGCAGACCGCAATCACCTTGTCGTCCTTCTCGCCCTGCACCGAAGGGACGGATGCCATCAGCGGCTCAGTCATGACGTCAGCATCCCGGGCACTACTGGGAGCAGAAAAGGCAGAAGAACCACATACTTGTACAGGTCGAAAGTTGGTTGAGGGAAGCTGCCAACTGGTGGTCTCGAGAGAGGCGACCTATTTTCCTGCGCTCTTAAAGTTGACTGATCTGAAGGAGAGAGCGTTCACCGAGGGGGTACTTTGCAATACGGCTGCACACCTGGTCCGTCAACGTCATGAAACCAGTCTCACTAAACCTGCGACTGATGGAGTGATCAATGCTTTATGGTCCAAGATTTGCGGAATGGCTGCTTTCTTGGTCAATCATGGGCATGAGACCAATCTCAATAGCTCGCTGAACATTTTATGGTCAAAGTACGAGAGATGGCTGCTTACCTGGTCAATCATGGGCATGAGACCGATCGCACGGGCCCGCAGGAAAGCGCCTGGTAGGACGGGCTCTTGCATCAGCACGAGGACGTCGATGGGGTCTGCACAAAGGAGACAATGGAATAATTCTTCATTCCTGTCCCCCCTATGTTTTTGCAGCCCTTCATTGCAGGATGTCAGTCTGCCTGGGCAAATTCCTCTTGACTGCCGCGACGGATCAGATCCACTTGTTATGCTATCTCCTGCGTTGCACTGTTGTGAAGGTCACACGTGTTTCAACGGATACCAGGGGTAGAGGGGCAAAGACTTAATGCAGTTCTGCCAGGTAGTGATGAAGAAAGGCAGTACACAATGCACGATAAAGACAATCTTGAAGTAGAAGGGGATCCTATCCCTCAACTTGCTGAATGGAAACAGGATGGAACTGGCTGCATGTGTCTGAGGACGGGACTTCTGGACATTAAGTAAAGAGCACAGGCTCTGATCAGGGGTCAAATCCATCTACCGGTTGCAAGCGAAATGCATGATCATGGAGGGTTCAGGCAAAGAGGGGGTCTTACCATTGTCCTCGCAGAGTGTCCTGGGAACAAAGCCGTAGTTGTGGGGGTAGACTACAGAGGAGTAGAGCACGCGGTCAACCTGCAACAGAATCAGCGGCGGTGTCAGAGACTAGCTGCTTAAATTGTGACGTTTAGGGTTTTGAGGTTGGGGTTTGACTCCCTGCTAGCATGCTCTGCACAGATTGACAAATAATTGTTGGCAAATCACCTCAATCAGACCCATCGAAAAGAGACCTAGTTCATCTGCGATTGAGGACATGATTGGACCGAGTACTCAGACTGACAACAGTTCAGGCTCAATGGGAAAGACCCCTATAAAGTGAAGGTATGTCACGCTTGATGCCGAATCAATTCAACTGAGAGATTGCTGGGTGCTCGACAAGAGAAAGGCTGGTGCCTTTGCCTTTGGTAGTGAGCAATTTTGTCAATCAAGTTGCATAGTTCCACTCCATTGTTTATCTATGTGTTGAAAAGCAGACTGACATACCTTGATGAGCCCGCTCTTCTTGTCAAGCTCGTACTTCACCTTGCTGCCCTTTGAGATCTCAATAACGCAGTTGAAGACCTGGGGAGCGCCGGGACCTGCAGCATACGCGTGACTCAAATTCTCAGCGATTAAAATAATTGATCCTTGTTCACAAAGTAAACTGATGATTATCGTGAATCAAGGAAAGTTCCAACATCTTGGCAGCCAGATCCTGTGACCCTCAGTCTGATTAAGACAGCGATTGCCTCAGTCAGTGAACAATTTGAGTCCGCTGTCAATAAATGCAACCCTCTGGTCATGAGCAAATCCTGAAGATTTTCTGCTGTGCAGATATTGCATGATTGATAGCAGCAAAGTTCTCAATTGCCACGCGGGAGCCAAATTTGAACGTGATCAACCATCTGCTCAATGATAGCACCATGCCAGGAGCTATCCCAACCCTGGCTCTTATCAAGCATAAAAGCATACTTGCCAATCATATTATTGAATCTCCCACTGCGCAGCGAAGGGCGCAATCGCTTCTGGCGATACTCGATATGATTCTGACAAATCTGAAACCCTAAAATCTGCCTACTGGCGGAAGCCCTTTCGAACATTAGCACTCCCGTGCAGAATTACTTTCAACAAGGAGCAGTTGAGGGTCGAGGGTTGGGAAGCATCTATAGAATGGTAGGATTCAAATGCATTTTAAATGGAGTTTTGAGATACTAGCTGAAAGGAATCTTGAGGAATTCAGCTAAAATTTCCGTACCAACATCGATATCGTGCCAGGGATGTGCAACCACATTTCTGCTGAACTGGCCACGCCCCCCTCGGCCCTTCTGCACGGATAGCGGTCCAAGAGGTTGGTCAGAGTACGCACCATTTCACTCAAGGAAAGGGCTGGACTTTGTTTTGACACTGAACGTGTGGCCAGCACCCCTCTTGAGCGAAAGGCAGTCGCAATACTCTGAACCAGCCTCTTGGACTGCCTGTCCCTCAAGAGGGCTGCTTCTAAGTGCTCTCTTGGCTTTGCTTGCTGTTTAAAAAGCAAGGCCAAGAGACCACTCAGAAGCCAGATTCAATCAGAGTATTCTAGGGGGTTTGTTTATTAATCGCTAATCTCTGCTTGCATCTTACCAAGTTCCAAATCGTGCCATGGATGAGCAGCAACAGATCTGCTTATGAGAGCGGAGAGTGTCCGCTTGGGAGGCTGAGCAACCTGCGCAGTTGTCAAGCAATGCATCCCTCTTGAGCAGATTGACAAAAAGGGAAGGCCGCTGATCTCAACACAAACGTGTAAATCAAGCCACTTTTATTCTTTCTTAGCATTATTGACAAGGGATGAAGCTGCTGATCTATCCGGAATCGTCAAAATCCAAGCAGATGAGGTATGATCTTTGCCAATCCTATGTGCTGACTCCAATCAATGCAAGCAAGGGTGCCGCACAGCACACAAGAGGGTTTGCATTCCCTCTAACTCATCTACAAAAGTCACTCTTGATTGAGCGAGAACATAATACAGGAAATGCAAGCTTCTATATGTATAAAGTTATAATGAGGTTGCTCGTTCTTTGAGACACCTTGAAGATCCATTCAATCCACTGCCACCTTGCCAAGGAAGGTTAGATAGCTTCCTTACTGGTGCACTCATTGTGGGAGCGGGAGCCGCCTTCGGTTCCTGCTTCTTCACTTCTGCTTTTGTCTCGGGGACCTCGCTCTCGGCCTTCTTCGTCTCAGCCTTCTCACTCATTTGCGGAGGGACGAGCTGCTGTGAGGTGCGTAGCTGCGAGTAAGCGAAGCAGAGACAGGAGGAGCAGCTGAGAACGCGAGGAGGGCGGAATGAAAATGGACGCCAACGATCTACGAAACTTTTGCTGAACGGGCACCTTCTCCGCCTCACATTGCTCGTGCAGCGGCCGCTTCCAAAACGGAGTCCATGCAGCCACACCGTACTTCAGATTGACACTATCGTTTGCCCGAACGCACCACTGAGCAAGTTGTGCTATTCTGTTATGAATCCAGTGTCAAGACAAAGAGGGTGTACAAACTGCAAAGAAGGATGATTCCCCAGGACCGCCAGCAATTTTGGAGGCGCTTCGAGCCCCACGATGATCAAAAGCTACGGTTCTCAACACTTGACGCGCGCGCATCGACCCAAGATTCACCAGCAATTAATGAAGTCAGCGGCCCATGTACCTATGCCGTACAAGTGGCAGACACAATGCACATTGCAGAGCATCGACGGCTGAGGTGGTAAAAGAATTACAACCGCCAACTAGGTGCGACAGGGGATCCGATCCGACTTTCGCCGTCATAATTTAAGATTCATCGCGACCGTCAAAACGTTTGGACGGCCAGATAACTTCCAACGATTGCGAATTGCATCTCCTGGTATAGATTGGGTGAGAGTTGTCAAAGTTGCTCACGTGGCGGCCTGGAAACTTCAAGAATCTTCAATTTAGCAATAGCAAGCTTTAGCAATAGTAAGCTCACCAGCCTGGGACGGGTAGGGTTAGTTTGGGGGTTAGGGTGGGTTCGGGTGCGGAGCGGGTGTTTTTGTAGGTTAGGTTTTTAGTGTTAGTGCCGGAGCTTACTATTGCTAGGGCTTACTATTGCTAAGTTGAAGAGACATGAAAACTTCGGGTTGTGGCAGGTTGACTCAAAAGTGGAGCTGCAGTTTCCTTCGCCAGTGTTCCGGCCAGCTTCAATGGTGCAGCTGGGTGCAGCTGCTCAACAAGGACAACGAGCATTTGTTTAGCTCTTCCCTACATCCAGGCGCATGAAAAGAAGTTTGAAGCCACAGAACAGAAGGAACCTTTGCTTTGAGTCATTTCTGGAGCACGACAACACAGAGCGGTTGTCCTCAAGTTTGCCTCGCAGCGGTCATCATCTTTTGGCTGAGACAAAGGATTGGGCTGGATCGGTCCAAAACACAGCATTAGGGTTTCTTGTTGAAGAAGCTCTTGTGCCCCCGCTTATGGGGCGATAAGGTGCAAGATCTGGGGGTAGCTTATGGCAGCGGCTGCAGCGAGGGCCGGTGTCGACGTGGTCAAAACCGCAGCTCGGCAGGCCATAAGACAGCGGAAGCAGGTGCTTGAGTTGACAGAGTCCGCAGCTGATAGGGTGCGGCAGCTGTTGCAAAAGAGGGGGAAGGAGTATTTGAAAGTTGGGGTGAGGACGAGGGGGTGTAACGGCCTTAGTTACACGCTTAATTATGCGGGTGAGTGGGAAGCAACTTTGCTGCCAGAACTTTTCCGGTCCTCAGGCATGGTGTAAAAAATTGCCTACGCATGTGTTTGGTGTTGGGAGATTTTCCTCCTCGTATAGAATATTGTTTTGCAGGATCACCACCGTCAAAAGTCTCTCGTAAGTTGCCCACACCTCTTCCAGAATCTGTGACAGGATGTTGTCTGGATGCGGATTGGCTTCTTGGTGGAAGACCCGATGGTCGGATCGCTCTATGTTGATGCATGTGAATCAATGCTGTCACCCTTGCTGCTGATTACCAGATCTAAAGCAGTTGTTTGGCTGGTTTACTTTCTTATGTGTCGAGGCCCTCGCAAATTCATCATAAAGGACAGGCCAATTGAAAGAAGATGACGTCCATTTCCTGTGCGTTGCTCTCTGCCCTTGCTTATCAATTTCAGCATAGCATTGCTGGTTTGTATGCTTCTCTGAGCTTCTTTGTTTACCCACTCTTGGAAGTGTTCGTTTGATCTGACACTGTTGGGTAGTGGTGAATTGGTTTCATCTTTGCTGTGCTCGTGGCAAGTTCGTTGAGTGGCGATGATGCTCGAGCAATTGGAATTGTTAAGCTATTCAGTTAGACCATCGGCCACCACTCCGCGGTTCATTGCCAACGCTTTCATCGTGCCACCACTCTGCGGTTCATCACCGACTGAAGCGGTGGCAGTCACCATTGATGACCCCACCTTTTTCCACTCTTCCGAGTCACAAACGTTGAACCGAAGAAGGCCAGATTCATTGGCCAAGTGAAATAGGCGCGGATGGCGATCTTAGACTACAGATGCCAACTTTGTCAGAGACCTTGAGTCTGGGGATTCAATTGTCATACAATAATAGTTCGCATCCGAGTAGCTTGCTTTGATCGCCTTCAGGGCATATGTTCTCATTTCCTGAAGGCTAGGTTTCTCAATGGCTGCCGCCTTGGCATTTTCGTTTTGTAATTGTGAATCAGCGATTGTGAACACGTTCTGCTGGTGACATCTACACACTTGCAGTGCTTAACCTTTGTCATGAGGAACGGTACTGTAGAGTATCTGGCCAGGGAGGCGATGTCAATTTCCGTTGCAAAGCGCATTTAATAGCGACCTTTTGAGACCTGTCATAGCAAGTAGTGGCACGGACAACATTAAGTGCTAGTCAGCTCCGGCTACGTTCCGCGAGAGTGGCGCAAAACCTCTTAAAGGTCGCAAGTCTCACTGCTCGAGAAGTCGCGCTGTTCACGTTGTTGATGGGCAGAGGGTCCACCACGTGTATTGAGTGTTTAGCCTCTTCCAGACTTCTTTGACGCCCCTTTGGATACCCACAAACGACACTGGCCACTTTTTGGTTACTGGTGTCGAGCCTCTTTCTCCTCTGTTTGAAGTTTTGGAGTCCTTTTGCTTTTCAATCCACCTCTGCAGAGAGTCTTGGCCCTTTGAGTACGCTCGGCCCCCTCAGAAGCTAGGGTCGAAGACGCACGGTTTACGTTGTGTTCCTCCGGAATGTTTATTTGCAGGCCACACGAGAAGGGCTCTTTGTGACAATTCAGCCACTGATTTTTCGACTTAGCTACTTGCTTCGATTCTCCTGACCGGCTTCCGTCATTTCGACAAGTTCGAAACATCTCAAGGAATATTCTAGATTCAAACATTTGTTTGCCCTGGACAACTTTTGCATATGACGCTCTTTTCTCTTGTCCTTTCTGCAGACGAGGCGAAAAAGTTCGACGAGGTCGTCGAAGATAAGGGGGTGAAGGTTATCGTCGACCCGCGAGCGCTTATGACGATCATCGGGACGAAGATGGACTTTGTGGAAGACCGGTTAAAGTAAGCAGCTCTTCCCTGTTTCCTTTTTTTTCCCCCCCCTCTACTTTCGCTTTCTTGGGTATATTCTTGGTTTCTCGTTCGACTTACTCCTGCAATGCGCTGGTGACTGCATCAACAGAAAGAATGGGAGTCTGAAGAGACCAAGTATTTTCCTGTCACTGTGCTTCGTCGTGCAAGTTTGAGGTTTTGTTCCTTACACGGAACTTGAACGACGATGAACCTGGCAAAATCTTGGACGGGAGCAGCGCTCTATGGCCTTTCTCAACCCGTCCTTCTTCAGGTCTTTTTGTTCCATCGTTAGTTTCAGCTTCTCGGCTTTCTTTGGCGTTCTTGCATTCCTTCCTCTTCCTACTTTCTCATCTTCAAAAACGTGTTCCACTTTCTTCCTTGCTTTTCTTCTCTGGACACGCTTTCCGATCAGAGTGGCGGGTTCGAGCCGGGGCAAATACCAGGTTTCTTGATTCTCAAAAGGGGGGTTTCCGAGTAGTCTGCTCAAGAAAATGTTTCGTTGGTCCGGTCACGACTGACGTTGTTTGGGCGACTTGCAACCCACATAATCACCAAGTCTGTCGCCCAGAATGCTTATTCACTCGGTCACTTTGAGGTTGTTAGGGCTACGTAATTTAAGTGACCGAGAATAGGAAGTGCTAGGTTGAGTGTGACCAACGTGGTCAGAAGCTCTCGCAGGTCAAGGCAAAACGTTCTGTATGTGGCCAAGACACACCTTTGTCAGATCGGAGAAGATTACCTTTGCGTAACTTTTGGTCGATCAGTCCTTGCCCTGTACACATGATCCTTACCCTCGTTTAAACAGCTCAAAAGTAGTAGTGACACTTTTCTGCAGACAGTCAAGGATTTGATATGTGTTGGTAATTGTCAATAGACCCTATTTCGACATTTCTTACACACGAGTGCGCGTCAATGACTGCAAATCTCTGTTGTTCGTGCAGATCCGAATTTGTCTTTATCAATCCCAACTCGAAAGGCCAGTGCGGTTGCGGGGAGTCGTTCAACGTTTAGGGAAAAGCATCGTATCTGGACGGTCCGGTCATTTTCTGTATCATAAAAGCCCCAAGTCCGAAACGAAACACACTCTTTTCACCGGAAGAGCAAGCACACTGCCGGCAAAGGCCTTTGTCTGCGACATATAGCTGCTGGCAAGTCTAATCATGAGTAGGGACAGTATTGCCAGGACATTCTTATTGTTCCGTCCGAAAGGTCGAGTTCAAGCAAGCTTTCGGGTCCAGAACGGGTTGTGGCTCATTGCATTCCTGTTAAATGCATGTTGATAATTGCGATTTCTAAGTTGTGCAGCAAATCCATGATCGTGTAAGACGAGTTAATTGAGACTTAATTAAATGAGTAGATTGCTTTTCTGATCGTATGATGTGATTGCATACTTGCCAACCATGATGTCTGGCCTGCAATTTTTGACAAAATTTCGAGTCACGAAGCTGGCATAACATGACATGTTCCCATGCAAAACGATTGTTGCTCAAGCATTGGCCCGGGAGAGATCGGGGCTGGCCGGCTATTGAACTGGCCGCCCACACGTACAATCACCGGCGATACTGCCTGTTCCGTGCAATCAAACGAGAGGTACTCGAAATTTCGATCACTACATGAATGAACATTGACGGTTCAGTGAGCTAATCCAGTGAATCCTACTAAGTAACGCACAACGAGTCCTCAGATGGTTCAAACCACGTTAGTATCATCACGTACCAATGCGTTGTCCGCCCAGCTCGGGCCCTAGCTTTTTCGACAGAGTGTTCGATGTCGTTCATTTTAACCATGTGCCGCATGCAGTGATGCAGGCATGTGGGCAGCCTGACCTTCCACATGATGTTTCCAGTCGCCGGAGAAAATCAACGGCCGGCCCCGTGACCCTAGCTAAGTGTAACCATTGAAGTGAATCTGAGCTAGCTATGCTCCTATGCATACGTTTAAGGAGCTAGCTAGGTACGGTATGCATTAGGAGCTAGCTATGAAGGCTATGAAGGCTAGCTTGCAACTTCAAGGCTCAAGGGCCAAGGCTCAAGCTTGTATTAGAGTCCGTACCGTGCGGATCATTACGTTTGCGCTATAAAAGCCTAAAATTCCGGCATTCAGGTTCTGTTTGTGCACAAGTTTGCGCAATAAAGTCGCACGGGGGCAAAGTCCGTGTACGGATCAGTCGAACGAGTCACGTGGGAAATACGTTTTGTTCTCAGCTGCGGTTGCTTCTCACCCCGGGTCCCCGTCGCCCGACCCAAGCCTTGAATTGAAACCTAGAATGGTAACGACGATATCTACGCAGGAGCTAGTGCGTCAGTAGGTTTTCACCGTCGAAGAAAGCCCCGGACGGTTGAGCTGCAAAGCTGGTCGCGTTCGGAGCGCCCACGGATTTGCCGGGCCAAGAATCTCAAAATGTACGACACATTATACTAACTCCTCCGTACCCCATACTCCGCCGGGTACTACCAACTTCACGCCGATATGACACCAAACACGCCCGGTCCCGCATAGCAGGGTTTGGTGTGACCCGGCATTGAGTACCTAACAGATAGTGTACCAAGCCAACTGGGTGCGACGATCGGATTCAGCTTGCGAAACGCACATGCCGAGCGCGAAGGGTGCGCCAAACAAAATGAAGATCCGCTGTGATCGAACAAAACACTGTTCAAATGATCCTGCAGACGGCATGCCTCTTAGAGACCAGCTGATAATTCATCAGCAGGGGGCTTCCACACTTCATGCAGAAGGGAAAACAAACAAACCGCCAAGACTCCTCTGGTCTCGACTTAGCAGTGACGCATCCTGCAAAGGCGCATCCGCTTTTGGCTTTCTGCGCTAGCTAAGAGCTTCTTACCGCTGTACTTTTGGCTGCAGCAATTACGATGATGTGACAACCTCGACTCTGCCTATAAAAGCTGCCGCCAGCTGTGTTCGCTGTCATTTCATTCTTCAATTCTTGGTAGCTCCGCCAGCAATTAGTGCAAAATCTGGCTCTTCAGCTCTCTGTATTCGCTCCATCATCTTCCTAGCTGCACAGCTTTTCCTCCTCGAAGCATCCGCCTTCAACATCTTTTCCAGCTCACATTCTCCTTGCGCAGCGTACTTCTCTATTCTTTCTCCTCGACCAAGATCAACCCTTTCCCAAGCAATGGCGCCCCGTCTGAGCTCCAGCTGGATCCTCCTCGCCGCAATCCTGGCCGTCCACGTGGCAGCCGCCGCCGCCAAGGACTGCACCATCTGCAAGAACTCGGTGTCGACTCCCTCCGACACGAACGCAAACTGCTACACATCTGGCCTAGACCAAAGCACCGACAGCTGTACGGTACTGCTGGCCAGCTACTACTGCGACCTCTGCAAGCCCAACGGAGACGCGACGGCCGACGGCAACTGCGCGTGCAAGAAGACGTGCGAGCCGGTCGGAGGCTCTGGGAAGAACAAGGTGTACTGCACCTGCCGCCCCAAGTCCACCACGCCGGGTGAGTCGCTTGTATCCTATCTTTTTGTTTCTATCTATACTTGTCTCCGGTTTTGGAAGAGGCTGAGGTGTCCGCTGAGGTCAGCAAAAAAGGCAAGCTGGTAATATTGCACCTGCCACACAAGTGAATCTACTTCAGTCATCGCTCGTGAGACCTTTTCCAACAACGCCTTGCCTTGTTTCCTCTTGAGAGCTGAGCTGTTAAAAAGGTTATATAGTCTTTGGGGGAAAGTAAAGTCTTGGGAGAACCCATGGGAGTTGGAGCTCCAAGGCCCTTGTTTTAAGAGAGCCAAGTAGTTGGTTTAGATTAGTTCTTGGGTCAACCGATTGCCAGGGACCAATGGTTTGCATGCTGCAAGGCCATGCCCTACATACAGTGCTGAGGTGTCCATGTCTTTTCTTGTCTTCTTGCTTCTCTGATCCCGCGTTCAGCAAAACCTTGTAGAAACTTGACAAGTTTTGTGCGGGGACTTTTCGTGCGAGATTCCCAACCTGACTTGTGTAAAACACCTGCTTTGAAATACACTGAGAGAATCTGCACAACCAAATCACAAACCTCCCGATAAGCATGCAAGAGCCCAGCGACGGGTCAGCTCGAGTCCTTTTAGGTTTGTAATCTTGCATCTTTTAGCTTTTTAGAAGCTCACACAAAACCAAGTTTTCCTTGGACCTAAGCAAGGATTCTTGCAAGGTTTGGCTCTTATGGTTCGTTGTGACGCTGAATCTTCCGAGAACTTCGTTGCTGTTTCTGATCTGGGTCCTTAACTTTTTTCCAGGTGTCTGCGCTGATCCCCACTTCACTGGAGCATACGGAATCCAGTATGACTTCCATGGGGTTCCAGGTACGCCCTTCCACCTTCTTTCTCAAAGAATAAGAAAACGAGCTGCAAAGAAAGCAGGTATTGGGTAAATTCAGACGCACCCTGAACACACTTGTTTTGCTTGTTCTGAGCTTCCACCTAGAGACCTGAGGATCCTTTTGATTCTTCGGGTGTTTTGTGGTAGGGGCTTAACCTTGGAGTTGCATCTTGGTCGCTTTATGCGCTTCAGAACATTCCAAGGCAGGACCTTGCTCCAAGTAAGCATCTTTAGTGGTAGAGCAACACGACGACAGCTACTACTTGTTTATCTTTTGCTGCTGGTCCTTGACCATAAAGAGCAGGATGGTGCTCAATTCCGAAGTTTCGGACTGGTCACGTCTTCATTTGATACCAGCCACCGTGGCTCATCAACGTTAGTTCAGAAACCATTACCTTTCTGCTTACTTTTGTCCTGTTTCATTTCTGTCCCGCAGACAAACACTTTACACTCATCACCGACAGAGACCTCAACCTGAACGCCGAGTTCATCGGTCAGGACGGAACCGAGACCGGTTTCGACGGCACCTGGATCTCTGCGCTTGGGATCAAGTGGAACGAAGGAGCGCTCACGCGCAAGCTGTCAATCTTCCTCAAAGACGTGAGCAATGCCTTCTACTTTTACTGCGTCTGGAATTGATATCAGAGACAGTTGAGAGTTTGTGATCGTAGTTTCAAATCTCGATGGCGGAAGCTCGAGACAAAGCTTGAATAACAAGGTTCAAACAAAGCTGGTGAGCTTCATAGGGCGGTGGCAGGATTTCTTTTTGAACATAGTCAAGAGCTCGAATGCTTTGAGTCGCCCATGTCAGTACAGCCAATCCGCTGAAAGGAACTGATTCTCCGTATTTGTGAAAATTGACCTCGGCAAGGGGACGTCCGGTCTGGAACCACAATCCTCTAATCTCCAGACCTGTCCGTTCTGCGGTGGTTTCAATCTATCTCGTTAGCCCCCAAAGATACTTCATCCCCTTCTTCTGGTTCTCTCCCCTACCTCTTCCTTTCTCTTTTAAAAGAGGACATTGGAACCTCCGCACGTCCAACTCTCGTTTGAGTCCTGTATCCTGCCACGTCTTATCTTATACGTTCTTTTGACGTTCTGCTGACACGTGTCCGTCTCTCTGCGCCTCAGGATGCCGACATCCGCACCAGCCAGGACCCGTTCATCGTCAAGCTGGGCGACACCGAGGTCCTCCCACCCCTCGTTGCTGACGTCAGCGACCCCCTGGCCATATACGACGACGCCGGGCTTATTATAAGGCGCGCCACCGACGGGCGCACGTATGTCTTTGACATTCCGCACCACATGATTCTGGGGGTCACTGCGGCGGATCACGAGTTCCCGACCGGAAACCACATGGACATCACCCTGGAGAAGCTGAACGTCACTGGTGGGTTTTACTTCTACTTTAGTTTTCGAAGGTCGGCCAACCTTGTTTCATCGTTTCTAAGCACGTGTTGGAACGCTGTGAAACTGTTTCGACAAGAAGGAATGCAGTGTTTGAGAAGTCGCATAAAGCAAGGCTGTACTTCTTTTGTAGTTTGTCGATACTGGATCATAGCTGTGCTCAAAGGCAGACAAAGTTCCTTTGCGGTGTAAACAGCTTGCCAAGCAATTGCAACCGCTGCCAATCAACCAGTTGCCAGAGCGTAATCTTCAAAGTGCAGTCTGCGCGTTCACGGCTCGCCTGTTCTTTTTTCTCTTCCTTCTACGAATCGTCAAGTCCCCCTTCCATCTCTCGTCCTAACTTGAGAATCTCCATTGCACACGTTGCTCCGTCTGAAACGCGGTCCCTAAGTGGGACGGCGGTGGCTGGCTAAGAAAATCTGACGGACCTTATCAATATCGTCTTTGTTCTCACTCCAAAAAGTTCCTTCGGCGAGTATTGACGCATTTTCCGCTCCCTCCTTTCCTTCCAGGCACCGTGCACGGCGCCCTCGGCCAAACCTTCGCCGACGCGCGCCGCGCCGCCCTCAAGGCCGCGGCCGCGGCCGTCGGCACGAGCGAGCGCTTCGACGCGACTGACGTCGTCGAGGGCAAGGACGCCGACTACATGACGTCAGCCCTGCTCGCGAGCGACGCGCGCTTCAACCGGTTCCAGCTCCCGGGCACCGGCGCGGAAATTCTGAAGCAGAACGTGCTGCGCAAACTGCTCGGGAGGGCGACCGCACCTACCGAGAGTCTGGTACCGGGGCTGGTTCGGTGCGCGAGTGGGCCGGGCGGGAAGCTGACGTGTGACTTCTAGACGCGCGGCGGGAAGATGGCGTCAGGACGTGGAGCTAGGAGCGGCGAGAAACAGAGCTGGTCAGGGGTCAATGACGATTTGAGAAAATAAAAACAAAATAAATGATTGCACATGAGAAGTAGAGCTGGTTTGTGGAACAATGATCAACGGTTAGAAATGATGAACAGTCCTGAAGTGGTTATTTGAAGTGGATGAGCGCTTCGAATGAGATCGCTTAGAAGACGTGGGCAGATTTAGATACAATGAGTAATGCTCCCTCGTTACACGCGAGTCACTTTCGTTTCCAACTATCCCATCGAGTAGAAGGGTTGAGTGTACCGAATAGAGTGCTGCCACTCATTGAGGGTTAGTGAGCAATAAGCTGGGTGCCCATTATGGCTCCGACATGAACATGCTGAGAAACGAACCAAATATAAAGACCAGAGAAGATGGAACAATCAGACGGGTTGCAGACGGTATGCCGAGAAACTTAGCGTTGGCAATAACATTGACGATCGCACAAAATTAGAGAGTTTGATTTCACGACAGGTCAGTGCTTGAGTCTTCGACAGTGCAAGAGAGGCTTGGAACCTGGAACGAACGGAGAAAGCTTTGCATGGTTCAACGATTATGAGCGCAAGACCAGAACCACTGCTCAATCATTCTGCACTCTTGACCGCATACGTACATACTTCTGATGAAGCTAGTTAAACGCTCTGTCAGAGCTACCTACCTGATTGGAGCGATCAGTGCACGTCGTAATTGCATGCCAGGGGGCGTTGATCGAAAGACCCACCCCTGATCCCGCACCGAAGCCGACGTACGGTCGTCACATGAAATCTGCGTACAAATGTGCAGGGACTTGGGATGGAAAACTTCATTGCTCATGCAGAGCGAATGTTATGGCAGGGAGGAGGCCTTCAAATTCCCGGCGCCGATTGAGTTACAAAATAGCCCATGGCAATATGGTCTGAGGCCCTTCTACGCACGTCGACCGTTATGTTGGTTTCGACAGGCCTGGCCCGTATTGCATGCGTCCCAGAAAGGCGGGAAGTTTACAGACTATCGTCGAAACTCGTTATATTGGAACTGAATGCAATGCAATAAGCACCGAGACTGGCCGCCGCTGCAGCCCGTTTATCGGGCGCACGAGCATGATAGCTTTGCTTTGCAGGGTTTTCACGTGCCTCGCTGAAACACGTCGGACAATAGATAGTCGCCCGAAAGAAAGCCCGAAAGAAAGCCGTTGTGTGTGCATGCTATTCCAAGCCTACAGCAAAACGCACGACTTTAATCGTCAGTGCAATGAGGGCCAAAATTTGTTGTTACAGATTCATACGGTCACTGAAAGGGATCTGCCGCCTAAACACAACCACCTCCTCGTCCTTTTCGACGATCTGCGTCGATTGCTTACCTGCAACAATCACGGTCCGTGTCACGAAAGCGGGGCTTCTTGATTCATATTTGCACGTTTTCAGGATACTGGCAACTCTTGCTTTCACTAACCGCAGCTTTCACTAAGATAAAGGAGCCCCGGGCACCTCAACTAAGAACCCTTACCTATGTAATGACCCGCTCCGCACCCGTACCCACCCTAACCCCCAAACTAGCCCCACCCGTCCCCCGGGTGCCTGTCTTAGTGAAAGCTGTCGTAATTAGTGAAAGGAAGAGTTGCCAGAGTGTTTTCAGGGTCGGTTCCGCACGCGATGCCGTATCGGCCCCCCCCAACCATAGCGTTTGAGCTTTCGCTGCGAGGACATTCGCGGAGGCATCAGTTGCTAGCAAGCGATGGACGTTGTGTCTGAACTCTTGAACTCATTAATGCTTCATGACTAAGTACAACTCAAAAGTCAGGTACTTTGTCTCTCAGCAAAACGGAGCCGAGACAGTTGCTCGATTCGCGAGCTTCTGAATTCGTAATGACGAGATGCATTCCTCGTTTCGCCGCGGGATGCCTCTACGCTTCTCATTCTCGGCCAGTAAGAATCGAAGGCCGGGGGCTGCAATCGAAGGATGGATAGCACTTATTAATCAGGAAAAGGGATCTGACAGACCAAACAGATTTGAGTGATTCTGTCATATAATCTCGAGGCCGTCAATCAAAACGTGCGGTTAGATTGTACTGACGTCAGATTTTCACCTTGTTTTGACGAAGCTGACAGCGGTATATACTGCGTCCAACATTGCAAGCTAGGGCATGACAGCATTATGTCAGACTCGAAGTTCGACGTCAATCAGAAGGGTATTACGTAAAGCTCGTCGAGGATTTTCAGCCCATCCTTAGAATCAGAGGGAAGGTTCAAATACAGAGGTGAACACCACCAGCGAACACCAAGTTGTTTCGGAGCAGTGGGGCTTCTGTGACCAGGCTGAAAAGCTTAGCACCAGTTTTGGAGAACGACTGTGCCCGCCCCTAGGCCGGCGCTCGGGCGGCCCCTTGTGGCTGATTGGCACTTCCAAAATGGTTCGAAACCATCGATTATTAGTGACTAGCTAGTACAAGCCTGGTCATTGCCGGGGTGCTATGTTTGCTTTGTAATCTGTTATAATTTCGCATAACATATTTGCCAAATATGTTATAATAATATGTTATAATAGCAAATTTTGCTGCGATCCCTCAATGCGAAGAAAGATGAAGCAAGGTTATCTAGCCGTAGCTCACGAGCTAAACGCATTTCCCTGATAATAATCTGCAGGCTGTAATCAATAATGCACTCGCCAGCTGGGCCTGCTTCATTCCGCTGAGACGCGGGCCCCGGCGCCTCGCGGCCGCGAACGGTCCATCTAAGTTCACGGCCGGCCCTGGATTCCCACGTGGACACCGTAATCTTGACTGTCAAGCACAGCCGTCGATCCCCTATCCGAATGATTAACGGACGGCTCAAACTGGCTATCAAGCCAACAGGAGGGGAATCTTCGCTGAACGTCGGCCAGCTGGCGGCTTGACAAAGCGCTGGATCAAGATTTGGAGATCTGCGTGAAGAGAAGCTTCCAAAGTTTTGCTTGCTGTGCAAAAGTTCGTTCTTTCTTCCCTCTTGTTTGAAAGAATACTCCGCTCCTTTCAAGTTCCCGCATTGCTGAGTTTGGGCGACATCCAAGGGCAGAAGGTTTGACCGCTCAAAGTTCTTTGCATCTGCGTTGTTTGTGAAAGATGGCAACCACAGCAGCGCTTGCCGTCGGACAGCAGGTGGCGACCGGCGCCTTGTTCCGGCAGGCGGAAAGGCCTAGCAATGCAGAAGGTGCGAACACGAATCCTCGTTGTACCTTTACCAGCCTTTCACGGTCGCAAAGACTCTGAATGGCAGCCTCGAATATCTGTAACCTTATAAAGCACAGGTTATCCATATTGTTACTTAGTCAGCTGGTCTTGCTCTGCATTGCTTTTTGCAGCAAGAAAGAAGCTTGATGAGCTTCTTGATTCCCTGAGCAATTCTCAAATTTCAAAATGTTGAGGGCATTGGTTGTCCTTCAGTCATCGACCATTTTGTGGTTGGTCAAAGAAACCCCAAGTCCTCACCGCTTTGCTCGCGGGGTATTCAAGAATGCAAAATGTTGGTCAAAACCCAAAACAAGACTAGTAATGCTGGTCGACATTGGTTTTGATGTGCATTAAGTCCACATCTCTTTCGGGGCTCTTCAATGCTGCCAAAGGGACTCTTGTTTCGTCATACCAAGGTTGTTTCAGCAGTGCATAGAATGAAGAGTCTGCTGAATCCATCCAATTATGTCGGTAGCTAGTTAGAGATTGAACGCTACAGTATTACATTTTCAAGAGAATGGAAGCCTCTGCATTCCATCAGCAATTGCACACCACTCTTTGTGCCCAACAAGATGCTCCTCTTTCTTTCCCTCGAATGCCGGCAGAGTTTTCAAGGCGTTTGTGGACCCTTTCTCTGCTTTGGGAAAGTCGACCACCAATTTGAAAGTTGCAAAGCATAAAGAAGTCACAGTCCTCACATACGGCATAAGAGCTGTCCAAGTTGAGAATTGTCAAGCTCTTGCGAACTTGACAAGAAGACAAACTTCTTCTTCAGGTGCCGCCACCCAGTCTGCATTTGCAAAGCAGCCTCTGCAGACCTCGTCTGCATCAGCATTTGCCAACGGGGGTCTTAAGGTAAGGTCTGGCCTCCTTTTAGGGTTTCACACTTTGTTGCTTTTTCTGCTTACGAAAGTGCCATTGCAACCAACGACATATTACCAGGTTTCTAGGTTGAGAGGAGTAACAATATGCATAACCTTGCCGTCCTTGTCGGTACCCTCTTTGTAGAGCCACTTTGTGCGTCTGCAGCCAACGAATGCCTCCAGATAGGGATCTGCAATGCCGTCTTGAAAAATACTTCGTGGAGATACGTTACTGTCCGTCAAGTGCTGCTGGAAAGTTCACTGCAACAGCTCTGATAGAGAGAGACCTGCAAAACGCTCCTCCCTTTGCAAAACTTTGCTTTGACCCTCTTGATTTTGCCACCCTATTCAAATGCATGACTCAGCAACACATTATTCTAGCGGTTGCTTCTAGGAGTGTCTTCATTCTTCCTTGCCAATGTTTCATCATTGTCTTTGTGGGGTACAAAAATGTGAGAAAAGGCCCCTGTGAAAAGAGGACTGAATGTTTGCTGCGCAGTGGTGCTCTCTGAAACACATCCGATTCGAAGATTCCTGGACTGTTGTGGTCTACAAGAGGGTTGCACAACAAAGAACCCTAAAAGGTCCATACATTTGATTGTGACGCACGTGTTTCAAACGCACTCATGGTATGTTGTAAAGCCTGAGGTGTACTTCTACAAGAAAAGCAATGCTGTGGAGTGGGGAGGCATATCACCAAGCAATGGTACTCTTAGGGGAGGCGAATGCTAGCGATAGTGTTTATGTATGAAGCAATCCTCTAGCTAATAAAGACAAAAAGGAAGAAAGAAGAAAGAAGGAAAGAAAAGGAGATAGGGACTGGATTCTTGGCAGTTTTGAGCGTCTCGTTCTCACAAAGTCGCAACACGAAGACCCAATACTAGCAAAGTTAAGATCCCAATCGTGGTTTTGGGTAAAAAACACCAAAAGCACACTCCCCTCCTTTTGCAGCTGACTCACGCTGCGCGTCCCGAGCAGAGGTCTGTGCGGGCAGTTGCGCAGAAGATCTCTGCCGCAGTCAGCACTGCAGCGCCAGGTATATAACAGTCCTCTTTGTCCAGCTCTTCATTCCCCTTGGTGATTTTTTTCCTCAATACTATTTGAGAGTGAAGTTTTTTTGCCCTTCATTTCGCCTCCTTACAGTCAGGATTGCTAAGAACTTTTAGAACAGCAGGGCCTTCTCTCCTCGTTCTCAGAACTAGGTTGAAGTCGTCTCTTCCAAGAGGGATCAAGTTGAGCTTTACAATGTTCTGGCTCCTCACCGAAGGTGCATATGGAAGTAAGCCAGAACAACTGTGCACGAGGGTTGCGCTGGTTTAGAGTGACCTTATGCCAACCCTCTTCCTGGGAGTGGGAAGGCCATGCTCCTATCGTCAGGACCCCTGTTGCCTGCTTTCGTTTTCAAAAGAGGAGTTTTAGACTTTAATAGTCTTCATGGATGAGCAAAACTGACTCTCTCCTCGTCCTTCTCAGAGGATAACGAGCGCGCCATCAAGGAAGCGCATGAGACATCCAAAGTGTTTCATACTCGTAGAATTTGGACAATCTTCATTTCTACTCCACATTATCCTTGTTCCTTCTCCATTTGATCCTGCGTCAGAGGCGATCGTTAACAACAACGCTCCGGAAGGCCATCGAGACAGACCGTAAGTGCCAGACAAAGTTTTGACTTAGACTTGCCGACTTCTAATTGTGATTTTCCATGCCTCGCTTCTCTTCAGCCCAAGGAGAGCGCCAGTCCCAGAGCGCCAAGAAGGCCGTCGACACAAAGCGCTATACGAGCACCTACAAAGGTTGCCCACACAACGCTGAGAGTGATCTATACTTCTTCTTGGAACTCGCACCTCTATCAAATTCGTAACTTGTTCTATTTTTTGTCTTTTCAGCCCAAGGCGAGCGCCAGGCCCAGAGCGCCAAGAAGGCCGTCGACACCAAGCGCACCGTCATCATCACGGGCGCCTCCTCCGGGCTCGGCCTCGCCACTGCCAAGAAGCTCGCTAAGTCCGGGGAGTGGCACGTAATCCTCGCGTGCCGCGACTTTCTGAAGGCCGAAAAGGCCGCGAAAGCGGCGGGCCTGCCGAAGGACAGCTACACGACGCTCCACGTCGACCTGTCGTCGCTCGAGAGCGTGCGCCAGTTCGTGAAGCACTTCCGGGCGACCGAGCGCAAGCTGGACGTGCTGGTCGCGAACGCGGCGGTGTATAAGCCCACGGCCAAGGAACCAGTGTGAGCAATC